GTTAAGCAGCTTCGAAATAATACCGCGGCTCTTAAGTACGCTGTGCTCAACTTTAACGACAAGCTGGATGAGAGCAAAATAATTAAAAAGCTTTATATGCGCGCTCTCGCCGAAACTTACTTATTGAAATACCTGTGAGATCAATTTTTTACGCGGCTACGAGAAATATTAACCCTCTCCCTCTCTTTCCGTACATAACTTCGACGTTTCAAGAATTACGGTTTCACGTAGAGAGGAGCGGAGTATATGTAACGTGCTGTTTAAATAACTGAATCATTTAACGTATTTGTATGCGTTTTTCATTCGCGTTTTCAAGCTGCATTCTGCCGACTGAAACGAATACATTCAATATGTACGATAAAATTGAAAGCACGATATGAAAATACTTTTTTTTTTTTTTTTTTAAATTGCGAATGTAGATTGCGAAACACGTAATTCGAAGCTTATCGTCAGTTTTTAGAGAAAGCGCTCGTCTATCGTAAGCGAATAGCGTTGATGCACTTTGATGCAGTGGACCGAGCGCGCGCGCGCACATCATTATACATTCCCCTTTGCTCAACGGCAAAGGTAGAATGCATGAGGAACGGGCGCGGTGCGTGGTGAACAAAAAAAAAAAAAAAAAAACAACCCTGAGAGATCCACACACTCACGTCGTTGAAGATACTACAGGGTACGCTAAAAAGCAGCTGTGCATATTTATCTAACGTGCGCGCGTTCTATTTCGCTACCGCGCGCGCTACACGGAGAGATTTCGGTAAGCGCGTGCGCGCGCGCGCGAAGCGAGCACGGTATTGCTAGTTTAATAGCGATTCCGCGTGCAAATACACAAGGGTGTGTCGACGGCGGTTTGATGTTTGCGAATTAGGTGCAATCAAACGCAAAATCACACCGGCAAATATCACACGATTTACCAATCACAGACCGCCCGCAATTAATTGCTCGACGCGCTCTCGTTGAAAGACACGATTTCACGAATGCGAGAGTTTCGGGCGCGCTATCGCGTATCGCCGTCTTAAGCGCACGTATTTCAACTATTTCGCGAAAAAATATAGTTTTACAATAACCAACAGTTATATTTGTTCGAACGTGCAGTGATATTCGATGTTTATTGAATTATTTTTTTTTTTGTTGCTTTACACAACGTGCAACGAAAATTGGTAATTTAAAAAAAACAGCCCGGTATTCGGCAAAAATCAATAAATGATATATATTTTTTTTGGTCGTTGCTCTCCTGTTTAGATGTATTTGTTATTTGTTTTAATTGTGAGTGTCTCTTTGTGAAAAAAATTAACAGAAAGTCTCTAATATTAACACGCGCGACGGGTTTAATATTCTTAATATTACAGCTTTTACGCAATCGGGTTTCAAATTGTATGTCTGCTCAATTAAAAATATTCGTCGAGAATTAATTAAAAAGAAAGCGTTTAGTATCTTCTTTTATAGAACATATATATATATATATATATGTTCTTCAAGTTTTAAATTATAAAAGAAGCATTTCATTTTCCGATAGTCAAGTTTTTTTTCTACAAATAGTCTCGTATTACGGATAATGATAAAAATATAAAGATTTTACGCTTTGTTGAAAAATCTGTCTCATTAGCGCCTGCGTAACGGAATCGAAAAGTACCCGTTGTTTGGACAATGTTTGTTACAGTGGACTGTATATAATTATGCGAGTTGCACTTTGTACTAAAAACCTTTATTTTATGATTTTTGCAATATTACATATATTGAGTTCGCTTGGCGCGCGCACACATCCGTACTACTAACTAACTGTAAAAAAAGGGGGGGGGGTTAGAGCGCGCCTCTACTGCGCAGCATCAGGCACGGAGCGAAACAAGCTTAAAGAAGCTCGCGCGCGTGACTTGAACTGAAACTAAGGAAAACTCTTAAACACCCGTGTTAATAAAAGCATCAGTAAAATAAAGAAACTTTAGGACAAGTGATAAGTCGCTCCTCCGGTCTAAATAAGATATAGCCGGCGCGTCAATCACTTGCCGTCAGACGTCGTTCTCGAAATAGGAAATACGCGATAATTGTTTCACGGAACCTTCAAGTTATGTACTTAACAAATCAAATTGCTCTAAGTAAAGGATAGTAGATTGACGTTGAGTCTTTAAAGAGCACTTGTTCAGTAATTAATTTAATCTGTCCATTATCGAATTGCGTGCGTTAATTTGTACAGTAACCGTAAGATTTATAGCGCCATTTCAGAATGCGAATACAAGTAATACGTACAGTAATAAATATAGTCCAGAATTCTACGCAGTCGTTACATAAAAAGAGTTTTCTAAGATTTTGATAATATTATTCCGATAAAAGAAATAAAAACAGTTGATTTTAATGACACAAAACAGAATAGACGTGACATTTATAATATTATAATTGACGTTGGACAAATTTTTAATGAACGGAAGAAATAAACATAATAATACATTTAATTTAAAATGACATTATTAATAGTTGATGGCAAATCTATTTAAGTTATGTAATATAAAATTTTCATTCTCTCTCTCTCTCTTTTCCTTCTTTCTCTTTTTCTCTTTCGTGATCAATTCCGTGCCGGCTAATAAGACTAATTGAAATAGATCGAATATATTTAATAGAATCCACATCTACTAAGAGAAATAATACAATCTTCAAGAGCGCTAAATAAACGTGCGAAATAGTTTTTAAGGTGTAAATTAATACGTATGTTTATTCGACTTTATTTTAATTTGAAAAACTACTATTAGATTCGATTTCATCTCGTATGTAGAAAGAGCTCTTTCTTTTTCTTCCTTGAATTAATGTGAAAAAAAATATAAAAATCGTGTGAGGCATCGCTCAATATCTCGCAAACTCAATCTTAAAAAAATAATTTTCGATGTTCTTATATGAAAAACGTACGTTATATGAAAGTACAATATCACCATGTTAGCATTAGAGATTTTATTAATTTCTCATCGCGCGTGTACCGTATAATATAATAAAACTCGTCGATACTTACTACAAACCAACAAACGAACACAAATGCATTGGAATAAAAATCTCGCTTGCAAAAAGCTGGTGTGCGTATCGAGTATCGCGACTATACATCCAATTGAAACGGACGCTCACATTGGCAATAGCGCTATAAACGTCCGCATTTATATATTCGCAAACGTGCGTAAACTACACCTGCCCAGATTATCTGTTTTATTCGCTTTCGCGCGATAAAAACTCTCTCTCGCGGGCTTCCCCGACAGCTTTAGGCGGCGTGCATAAATCGAGAAGCTGTAATAATTTTGCGAATCGTAAGTCGCGGGGTCGAAAGCCGCGCGCGCGGCTTTATCGATATCTCTCCTCGCGCGAGTAACTCACGTGACGACTAGATTTAAGGGTGCGAGCGTTTATTACCGAGCTTATCGAGGTGCGTATCGAGGAGGAGAAAGCCCGACGCGATTAAAAACGGACCGAGTTCACGTCCTCCCGTTCGTCCACCGTCGGTATCAGGACGCGTGGGATTTCCGCGACTAATTCGGGAACTAATTCGGGCGGGCAATTAACGACGGCGCGGGAAGAGGCAAGGGGGACGAATTTACGGAGCCTTCGGTCGTCGAGCGCGATAATTCGGCGCGCGCTAAGTCATTAGCCCGCGCGATTACGGCGCAAGGCGCGCATAATGGCGCCGGCGTATTTCAAGCGGCTCCCTAATCCTCCGAAGGCGCACTGTGCAAACCACCACGTGCCGATGTGACGCGCGCCACCGTCGCGGAAATCTCGCAATTACTCCCCTTGAGATTTCTGGCTGTTTGTCTCGCCGCACGCGCGCGACGTTTGGAATAATCGCTCGGACGCGAGTAAACGGATGATCACCGGCACGATCTACGACGGTGTTCCGTCCCGCCTGGTTAAAGAACTCATTTCCCAGCCGGGGCGGCCGAGAAAGAGAGAGTAATTATTATCACGCAAGAGAGAGAGAGAGAGAGAGAGGATAAGGGAGAGTTCACCGGAACTAACTTCCGCCGTGACAATTTATACTTGCCACGATTCGTATAGGCGATTGCGGTAGTAGAGGAGAACGCGGTAGAGAGGAAATATAGACCGAAAGAAAGACGGCCAAAGTGGACGAGAAAAGAAGAAAACAGGTCGGAGGGGACAGGACGAGGAGATGGCACAATGCCGACGTTTCCATTTGAAATGCGTCTATTTTTGGTTACTCGTTCTTTATCGTTCACGGCGCGCCGCGTGTCTTTCTGGCGATCCCAATCGATATGAAGAAAAACTTTCTGGGACAAGAGACTTTTCGCCCCAATCAGCGATGTCGATTCGGGGAATACGAATTTTTCGCGGCGAGAAAAGTTCGACGACCGAACGCGCAAATGCAGCTGCGACGACTCGTCGCAGCGGGCCGAGTTTTACGCTCGCCACACCGTATATGTTTCGCATGCGATTTCCCGATCAACGGGAGTATACATGTATAATTTCTTGCTTCGCGCTACACCACCACGATTGTTCTCGCGAGACCGACGTTTTCCCGACGCGATGCAACGCGGAACGGAATACACGATCGCGGGCAATCTCGTTCGTTCAAATTACGGCCAGTCCCGTAATCACCTACTGACTTTTATCATACGCGTGATAAACAAACCGCGATCGTAAAAGACGCCCGTAAACCGTCCCCGTCGGTCGCGGAAGAGAGAAAATCGCGACAGCGCACAGTTATAAATGCGCGCACGCGGACCTCGTGCGGAACGATCGTAAAAACTGCGCAACGAGCCATCCTCTTTCCTAGCCCTTCTCGAGAATGTTTTCGATCGCGAGGTCCTTGATAAAAAAAAAAAATAATAATCAAGCGCAGAGGATCTCGAGTCACGATTGCAGCTTTTTCAAAGGAGCTTCACCGGGGGGGACGAGGAAAGGGAGACGTATATCGCAATTGCGTGTCGTGCATAAACGTCGTTGAGATTGCAGGTGTGCGCAGCGGTGTGTGCGGGGCGGAGGAGAGAATGCAATGCCTTTGCACGGAGATTTACCTGATAACGGATCGTTCAGCGCGAATGCCCATGTCGCGATGTAGAACACCGAGATCGCGAGAGCGGGCAGCATATTGTTACGTGGACGACGCGGCTACGTCAACTGAGGAGTAAACGCCGCGCGCCGCGACGCGTACCTGCCGGTTCCGCTTTGCCGCCAACCGAAGCGAGCGCCTGCGTGCTGCATGCACCCTACGGCGTCCCGCGACTTTCGCGAGAGGACGAACGAGAGGAGTTAGTGTAGTAGCAGGACGAGAGCGATATACCTGTCGATTTGTCAGGTGCGATTCAGACGCGCGCGAGCGCGGTGAAGCGCGCGCGTGGATTCTTGAAGGGATGAAAGGGTGAAGGAGTTATACGGGGGAGTGTGTATGCACAAGAGAGGTATGCAAGAAGTAACCGCTCTTCTCATTACCTCTCGAAAGAACTTGAAAAGATGTCGAAACTTACGCTGAATATTTTCCGGAAAGACGCTCGGATGTCGACGAGCTCTCTTTTTTTTTTCTCGTGGGAACTTAGTTTTCGAGATTTATTTACACACTGAAGAAACAAAAAACGTAATTATAATCAAAAAATGAGATTTATTAAATATATTTTTATAATTTAGACTTAGAATTTTTAATGAAATTATTGCCTTGTTGTACGCGTGAGATTATGTATAATCTAGGAAATGTAAGATACTTTAACACTTGTGATTAATGTAAATTTTTCCGTAATTTGCAGAGAAACGTATACGCAAGAAATGGAACTTGTCTAATTGCGAGTCCACTTTTATTCTGATTAACGAGGACGCCTGTCGAAAAAGTCGCGAGAAAGAGCGAGTTTGCATGGTAATTACTTTCGCAATAATTACATTGCCTTGTAATCGTTCTAACGATCTTATTTCGCTCCGCATCTGCTTCTTGTTCAGCGCAGACGAATTTTAAAGCATCGTGATATTTTCATTTTATAGCGAACCGGAGATTTTTTAATTATAAAATTTAACTTACATTCCTCTTGACGCTCGACTGCAATACATATCCTAATTGAGAATTTTCAGATACATTTAAAAGTGCACGTTTCCACATAATTCTCGTATCCGATTGAATTTTTATTACGTAAATAGAAGACGAGAAAAACACATTATTAATGTGACTTCGATCAAAATAAAATAATATTAACAAATGAATATCAATCAAATATAGATATTCACTTTTTTTTTATACTAGCACAACACAGGCGCGCGCTACGCGCACGCTATTATTGCTTTTATTTTAACTTGTAGTGTGAGTGAGCTTAACCTGTCACCACAATGACAGCTAATATATACGTCCTACAAACAATGTAATACACATGATGTACATATAAGAGATATTAGAAATAACGCATGAAAATCTAACTCAAAAAATAAAAGAAAAAAGGGAGAATAGAAAAACAACACGTGACTAAAGTCATGTGACAGGGACAAGAGTAAAATAGAGAATATTATATATATTATATATAATATTCTATATATATATATATATATATATATATATATCTATATATAATACATACACACACATATCTATATATATACCATAATCACGTGACTAAAGCGGCCGGGTCAATGACCGCGCCAAGGCCGCGCGGCCGGGTCAATGACCGCGCCAAGGCCGCGCGGCCGGGTCAGTGACCCCGCCAAGGTCGCGCGGCCGAGGTCAGTGACCTTACGGTAGTATGTACATAATATATATAATATACAATATAAAGTATAATATTATACTTTATATATTGTATACTATATATAATAAATTATATGTATAATATACATTATTTAATGTTATATATAATATAAATTACAATCACGTTACTTTAAATAGTCACGTATTGTTTTTCTACTCTTTTCTGTCAAGTGACTTTACTTGACTTTACTTTAGTCACGTTTTTAATTTTCTCCACGTATACGACGAACTGTCAAAATCGCTTTTCTGTCATTATTTACTCTCTCGATCTTACCGATTCGATTCGACTCGACTCGACTCGATCAACTAATTAATCGGCAACGCGGAAAAGAGACAATAGATGCAATACATTCAATATCAAAACGCGCATTTCGCGGTACATATGGATTTTTTATATAGGAGAATCACGTTTCAAAATCAGTATTTTAATCATTCTTTTACACATATCTCTCAATAAAAATTGATTATACACGAATATAAAAAAAATTACTGATTTTGAGACGTGATACAAAAAATTGAATATTAATATTTGAAAAAAAATTAAAACCTACAAAAAAGTAAAGATCTATATTAACATGTTATTAATATTAATATTTTATTTAAAAAATACTGCAAGTAAACTTAAAACTCCTCACGTTTTGCACTTTACGTAAGTTAACTTGGAATTAAATTAAATTATAAATCCCGTTATTGAGAGAATTTAATTAATGTGCACGATGATTTTCCTAATGTGTAACACTTCAAGAACGGAATTCATATTTTTAACATATACATTGTCAATAAATCAATACTTTAGCGCGATCCAATAACTAAACCAGAAGTCGTTTATTTTTAAACAAAGCGTTAAATCTTGCAAATGTCAATATATGAAGTTGTCAGTTCTTGATATCAAATGTTAAAATGATTTGCGGAAAAAGTGTGCAAACTAGAAATTTCTCAATAAATTTTAAAAACACAAATTTACTTCTGTTTATAGTTCAAGCAAATATAAAAAAAGATCACCTACTTTAGGTCACCTACTTGTCACATTCCCGATATTCTTTCAATATTCAATGGCATACATAATTGAATATATAATTGAATTATCAGATATCGGAATATTTGTTTCCGACAATAACTCATCTATTAATTAAAACGGCAACTCCCAAGTTTATCCAGCTAGTAGAATTGTTTTCAATTTATTTATACGTGTATGTACACAATATTGTTTATAAAAAAAAATTGAAAGTTCCGGCTGAAGATTTGAAAATACTGTCGCAAATACGAAGCAAACGCAATACAACGGTAATTTATCGATTTATTGTTGCAAAAAAAAACTATTACTTGTTTCTGTTGTTTCCTATAACTTTCTATGCTTCGATGTGCATCAGTGAATTGTCCGCTTTGCCATTCGTAGCGCCATACGCACGCGATATTGCTTTTTTCGCGTTCGCGTTTTTTTTCTTTTTTTTTTTTTTTTTTTTTGTCACCATTTTACCGGTTCGCGATGTACGCTCATGCATGGAGAAATCTCTTCACGAAGTTCCCACGCGTTCGATCGCGGCAGAAAATTTTATTTCCACGCGGTTTGCCCCGTTGCGCACGTTCTGGCACACGCAACAGCGACGGGCGGTTTATCTGTTTTGCGAAGTGCAGATCAACAAGCGACGAAGACTGAATAAATACCGAAATCGACAAATACACCTGCGACGCGAAGAGAGAAAGCGCTTCTCTATCAACGAGCTGTTTTCTTGAGGAACCATCACCACCACCACCAACCACCTGAGCTCGCGTGATAATTCATACCCTCCGCGGATACTATTTCGAGCACGCGTGCCACTTGATGGAATCGCACCTCCGGTTCAGCGCCATTACGTACAATTGTTTTCGCTTATTACATGCATGCGATTTCCCCGCAGCTGTACGTACGTGGCGCGAACACGCCGCGAAACTTCTTCCCCGATTTCGGACGTGTAGCCCGAGATAAGTTGTTTCATTCGCGTAAAGTTTTCGATTTGACATACCGACAAAAAGGAGTCGAAGAGTCCCGTTGACATTGATACGTGATTTATACACGAGAAGCTGTTTTTGTGTTGTGTTGATGTATCGAAGTGCACAGCTTTCTGCAGTTTCGCACAACATTGCGTTTGCACTCCTCCTGAGATGTCGGTTCGAGATATCGAGCGTCGTTTCTTAATGTAAACATCCGTAAACCTTGCGTCACGAATTGCTACGTGTCGACTTCACGTCGCGAAAAGAGATGAGAAGCTAGTCGATTCTTCCGACAAAAGCATGCGATATAAGAACGTGCGACCGAGCCACTTTGCGTGTCAGTGATTTTGCAGTAAAGGCAACTTTACCTTCATGATCTTGGCACCGCGTTCCACGACCCGTGAGACACGCTATACCATCATTAATGCCCATCGCGGCGAGCACGGTGCATTATTTTATTTGCATGATCACGCGCGCGCGCGCGCCGGCCGCGACTGACTCGTCATTTCGAAACGGATTGTTAGCAACTCGGGCTTCCGTAAAAGTATAGTATTTTTTTTTCTCTCTCTCTTTCTCTCTCTCTCTGTTAGTTGGTTTACACGATCCGCGACCACGATATATTTTATCTTGCCTGTGTTCGGACGTGGGTAATTGTAAATGAAATATTATCGCAACTCTCAATTACACACACAGTCTCACGCGCGGCAGAAAAATGTGAGAGACTTGTCGATTTCGCGTGATATTTCGCGGTAATTTCGTGCGATATTTCTAAGTCCCTAGTTTTTAATTCAATTTTAATCATAATTCGGCTGTGATTGAATTCAATATCGTTCTTCAATAATTAGCGTCGTACTTTTACAGCTCGAAACTCGATTTTCCCGTTTTCGACTCAATTGTCCCGTTTTCGACGAGGCTCCGGAAAGCCAGGAATTGCGAACGAGTGTAACCGAACTCATTCGAGCACAATTTGTCGCGTGCACGCTTGTACTAGGCGCGCAGGTGGAAGCGCGGGATGCACTCGCGCCAATCGCACCGTGGCGATACCGGTCGCGCGCCGCGGCCTGGGCGATCGATCGACGAGCGCGCGAGCGGAGCGGGCCAGGGGAGATCGATTTCAATTTAGCGGCCGTTTAAGCGTGCACGCTCGCGGCTAACGAGCTTTCGAAAGTCGTAGATATCCGACAAGTTGGCCTACAGGGGCAGTCTAGCCGCGGCACTCGCAACCATCCCAGGCCAGGAACTTACCGCAGTCAGGCGGCGCGAGCACCCGCGAGCATACATGTAACACGACACCGTTAACTCCCCCACTTACAACCCGTTATTGTACTCGTTGTTAGACGTTACACGCGTGCAGACACACGCATACACGGGGGTGTGCGCTTTACTTTAACCCCTTCTTTCCTTCTCTCCCCTCTGAGGGGAGTTGGCAGCAGTTCACGCGGACGGTTTTCACGAGCGATCGTTGGCGGTCGTGGTAGTAAGGGTAGGTAGGCATTGTTAACGTCTGGGCGAAGGATAAGAACGAGACGGGCGCGCGATGGAGGGCGGTCGCGGACTGTTTTATTGCTTTTCCAGCGAGCGTAAAGAACGAGAGAGAGAGAGAGAGAAACTTGATGGCGTGTGGCTCGCCGGTAGTAGAGATTAGAGAGAGCGAGAGGTGTGCTGTGTACACCTGAGAAACGGATTTACGTTCGACAGGTTAGGTGGATTACACATTACGGCAGCTGCGAGCGCTTTCTTTGCGAATCGCCTTTCGTGAGCGGAGAAGAAGCCACTTCTCTCTTACCTTCTCTTTCTCTTTCTCTCTCTCTCTCTTTCTCTCTGTTTTGTTAATTTGTTCTGAAAGATCGATCCCCGTAAAAATTGACGCGAGGAAGCGAGCCGGGATATTATATTGTATTAATCAGCGGATTGTTTCTACGGGATGTACAATTGAAACAATTGCAAGTGATTAATCGAACAGATGTAAATTTTAATGCAAAAGAAATTACGGTCGGTAATAGAAAAATAATGAAAGTTTTTGTACTTTTTGTAAAAAAGAGAGAGAAGTTTCACGGACAACATTGTCACATACGCGAAGGTACAGCCATCCAGACCGCTACGTAGTACTTTTAATTAATTATTGCATGAATCACTCGCGCTTTTCCGGAACACCGAAGACGTCTGAAATACTTGTGCGGAATCGTCAGAGGTTTCATCCTTAATTAAATTGCTTCTATTGTAATACAACTGTGAAAGCATATACACTTCCATGAAAGATTCTCTCCGGAAAAGGAGTTGTAACACTACGGGATAATACATCTCCTTTGAGATATGCGGACTCGAAATAAAGACGTTTCCTATTTAAATTTAACAGTTTGCTACGACGACGCAAAAGCGGAGAATATAAATAATAACACACACACACACAGATTAAAAAACCATTTCATTTATTTCCATTATACATAATCTCTTCTTGTTTCGTTTTTTTTTTTTTTAGAATAGTATAGAATATCTGAAAAATATCGTTGTACAGGCACGCGTTTTTCTTTTTTTTCGATACTTCACAAATTGTCTCCGAGTTAACGATCACACGGCGAACAATCTTATATCCCGCTGAGCGTAACAAATGCAAACTACTGTCCAAACATATTACACTACAAGCAAGGTGCGCAGTTACGTACTTGTAAACGCATTTCATGTGTAATCTGATCGTTGGATTCTCACCGTGGCGAGACAAACAACAGTTTGTGCAACGAAATGCAACGTTCCGACAAAAACCATAAAACACAGCTTGAACGAAAATAATAATAAATTCCGTCGGTCACATATATTTCTGTCGTACATCTTGTCATTTGTAAAATGCATTAGAAATTATACGTTGCGGTGCGTATAACGAAATTTGATAAATTGTACACATATTTCCCTCTAACCTCCGCTCTAACACGCAGTCATTGTAAACTTTAAAATATCGCGAGCGATTTCCGCTGAAATAAAAAAAAAAAAAAAAAAAGATTCGAGAACGCGGAACGAAATATTGCTCACGGCAGATTGGTTTGTCCGTCATCGCGTGCGTTCAATTTACAACAAATGGTTACGCATAACCGTAAAAGAGGAACGTATTCAAATATTTGTGGACTGCGTATTTTTCGGACAGATTTTGTTATCTCTCGGTCTCTCCCGCCCGCGTTTTCGTTCTCGTTTCCGAGATCGCGCTTATATACACGCGCGACCGTCATCTCCGCGATACACAAATGTCCTTAGAGACAAAGAGCAATAGGCTTGATGGAGTATTAACGCATCACCGAGTAACGGCTGACCAGAAACACGTAACATTCGTCACAAACGCGCACTGGTTTCGCCGAGTTCGGCAAGACTGTTGTATTGTCACTGCAGGCGTTGCAGAAGATGTGTCCACAGTTGCGGCAATGATGCTGTAACAGAAACAAACATTTGCAACATCTGTTGTCCAAAAAAGTGATTTATAAAATAATTTCTTCTGTCGAGAGGAAACGAGTGTGTTATAGCTATATATGTGTTATATCAATATATTTGCAGTATATTTTAGGGCGAATTACAACAATTACTAGATCTAAATAACAATACTTGTTAATTCGAGCTGGAAATACGAGAAGATCGGGTATTACAGTAATTAAAGCAATAATACATGTCAGTGTTGACATTCAATATCGACATTGAATGTCAGAAATATCAGAAGCGCGGTATTTGAAGTTCGTTTCTACAAATAATGATATTTTACAACTGCCAGCGAAATTTGAAGCTTCTTAAGAAAAGTTGTGATATGAGTGGCCATTAAAACCAAATACTATGTTCTCGAGATTTTACATTTGTAAATGATATCGTACAATCGCGAACGTTTCAAGCAGCAAATGATTGACACATCGTAAATCCAATTTCGTTGCTAAATCGCGCAGCGTGAAGCAGCAAAATGACAGAAGTGGGCAAAGTGAGATATTATCGCTTGACGTCGATCGTCGGAATTTTCACGTCGACGCGAAAATCGATAAGACCTCATAAAATATCGATCGCGCAACGTGGAGAGCATCGTTGGTGAGAGTTGGCGGAGCGTTAGTTCGCGCGGAAACAGCATTTTAATCGAAAACATCCGAAGCAACAGCAACTTCGCGGCATGTAACAACGATGAGTTTTTCCCGCGCTTCGGTCAGTTCTCCGAGCGCTGGAAAGTAAAAAGCTTCGTGTGCAACGTAGTTCGGAGTCACGGATTACGTGTGTACGCGCGGGTCGGATAAAAAAAAAAAAGTGCATGCCCGCGTGGCTGAAGCTGGCACGCGGACAACGGACCGGAGCTTTTTGCGACGGGGATACTATTGTCCGCGCGTCAACTTCAGGTAAGAGAGCGCTTAATACTTTTTTCGCTGTGCTTCTTGTGCGCGAGTCCATTTCCATGTGAAGTGGTCGTTAGAGATTGCTCGAGTATGGACGGAACAGGCTAGAATTTGGCCGAAGCAAGCCGGAAGGTCGGACTTCGGTCGAGAAACAACGAACAGAATTAAAGACTGTTAACGCAATCTTTAGTCTGAGACTTACTTCGCTGCGTAAAAGCTCAGAGGGTCGGAGGTATCTTAGTTTAAAAAAACTCCGAAACTTTTTTTTCACAACGTGACGAGCAAGCGTAAACAACCTAAGTTGCGAAGTAGTTTTCTTTCTCTTTTTTTCTATTTGCAGACAAATACGTGCAATATCCTGTTTTGTCATGATTTTACTTCATTTCTAATATTATTCGAGAGCTCTAATCTACTTGCGAGCGCGAAACATTCTTCGTCGATTCATCGCGCGAGGATTCCGCGCAGATTTGCAAATCGCGAGCGCGGGAAGCTGTGTGAAACGCACACATCTAGGTGTTCATTTTGCACCTCCAACCTGCGCCTCATTTATCCGACAGTCTTTATTTTCGAGCCATTACCGACGATCTATTATAATAACGCGCGGGGGCGTTCGTACTCTCTCGGCAGACTAAAAGAGTAACTGTGAAATCGCGCGCGCGCACGGATTCTAAATTTTACATCTAAATTGAATCCCCTAAGCGAGACGCTCGGATCTCTCACGTTCAACCCCATCTCGTCGGCGAGACGGCGACGAGGGTCGCGGCGCTTGCTTTTCCGGTTATTACCGGAGAAGTGAGAGCCCGAATAATATCGTCCCGATAACCGATTTCTCCCCGCGAAGTTAATTATTGAACCGTCCCATCAACGTGACTTACGAGCGGGACGTAAGGAGGAGATAGGTGGCTGCGAATCCGCGGCGGCGTGTCTCTGGCACGTCTTATCTCTTACTACTGTGATAGATACCTACTTATAGATACTTTCCGAAGACGAATAAATCAGTCTGCGGGATCAGATTTGCGAGATACTGCCAGGCGAATATGATCGACCATGGGCGATCTATAAATTGCGCGCGACTCCGCGTCGGCGGGACGCGCGAGAGAAAGAGAAAGAGGGAAAGAGAGAGAGAAAAAGAAAGAGAGAATGTCTCTGCCAGAAAACGGGAAAGACGCGATCCCGCGGCTTGTCTCGCTCCTCTTTGTGCCGTCGGACGAGCAAACTCACTTTTATGCAATCGCATAAGCAAGGAAATGAGTTTTCATCTCTGGAGTTAAACGTTAAGAAGAGACGCGGACGCGATTGCGCGTTCGTGTATTCCTCGCGGATGTAACGACGACCTGAAACGCTGCTCTCTTTCTCTCTTTCTCTTTCTCTCTCTTGTTTATCGGTCAGAGAGGTTATTTATATATGTACATATATATCTATACACACATATACACTCGGTGGTTTTGCAGCTAATAATATAGTTTAAAAATAAAGCTATTCAGAAAGATGGTTCTTCATCAGAAATTACTGTAAAAAAATCTAGGTCTTAATTTAACTTAAAATGAAAAAGAATATTTTTTACACACACACACACACTCTCTCTCTCTTTCTTAACGCAAAGAGAATAAATTGTACTTCTCTGAAATATACATACGCGTACATCTCATTGTTTGAAACACGTTTCTTAGTTTCGCTTAAAGTTTACGCGGCACAAAGTAGAATATTCCTTGCGCCGTCGTTTATGGCGCCGTCGTCGTTTTATTGCCGCATATCGATGCACGTGACGGCAAATGGCATTCATTTATCAACATCTGTTCGCACGATCCGATGCCGCTTATGATTATTCAATATCGATGGCGCGATGTGTCGCCGCTTCCTTACGCAATAATCCCATTGATACGATAAAATAAATGTCTCTCGTTTTTCTCCCTCGCATCCGGATATGTACGGATGCGGACGATGCGGGAGAAAAACGTGTTCATTTCCCGCGCGTACAAGAGAACGAAGACGTACAATAACCCCCGCGGAACCTCGGTGAATACAAATTCTTCTTTATATTCCTCGCACTGAATCATTGACTCGACGGAGCACAGAGATTTCAGGAGGTTGAAAGGGTTTTAAACGCGGTTAGATCTTCTTCTGCGCGGGACGGAACTTCCGTAATAATTACTGTTAACGGGGGGAAACAAATAAAAACGCTCAGCGATGCATAAAACATATATAAGAAGAAGAGAGCGCACGGTCTCGTTAACATCGGAATCAAAATTCCGGGATCTATGCGAAGTGTGTCAAGTGCGCGTATAAAGCGATTGTCGGTGCGGAGAAAGAGAGAGAGAAAAAGAGAAAGAAAGAAAAAAAAAGAAAAAAAAAGAGTGGCCGTGTGCAGCGGAGCGCGGTCTTTAGAGAAAAGCCCCGGAGGTGAACTCACCCCCGTCTTAACGTGGTCAACCGCGCGCTCTTCGTGTGGTGGACTGTGCGACGCCACGAAGGCGCGGTTATTGTTTTGTCCGCTTGTGCACGCGCGGATACGGGCCGTCTCGCTTTTTTCTTTCATAAGCGAGTACGCGCGCGCCTTTTTCCACATACACACAGACACATGTACACGAGACACACGCACAATGAAATTGCGCGGTACCTCTCGCCCCGACGAGAGAGAGAGTGGCTTGCCCACCGGCACGATTCCACCCACACATCTGGTCGTGCCATGTGCGGGGGTGGTCTACTCTATATTAAACAGTATGGTAATACATCTACGAGGCGAAAAATGAGTAACAAGGATACCCGAGCACTGCCTTGTTATTATGCAATAACTTACCACCCTTTCTCTTCGCCGCGACCTTCTTTTCACCCCGCGCAAGAGTGCACGCGCTATCTCTCTCTCTCTCTCTTTCTCTCTTTCTCGCGGGCAATGTATTCCTTGAGCGCCGGAGCTACGAGAAGCAAAGAGAGAATACGGTCTAATGTATTTTATGGGGCGAGCAACGTCTCTATCACATCGCCGCCGGCTGAATATGCATGCGGGCCATGCATGCACAACGCGTAATCATGAATGTATGTCGGATGATGGTGCAGTAAAATGCAGAGAGGGAGAGTTGTCGAAATCGTGCCACTTAAGATATTTTATCTTCCATTTCCTACTTGGGAAGCAATTTGCAACGTCAGTTAATGCTGAAAATGGTAGCTCGATGTTTAAGACGTGTATATTGTTGCATGTTTCATCTTTTGTCAGAAACAAATTGATTTTTTTTTTTTACAATCGTCTAAATCGTATATCTCCCGTAGAAATAATAAATTTATACAACGGTGTACAAATATAGATCAAAACTTAATATAATTGTATCTAAATGAATTGCAAATGTTTACGGTACGCACAAAATAACATATCTGACAATGTTTTGTTTATACTTCTCATCGCGCGTTCATCTGTGTTTCGCATATCGATTGCTAAATGTTGCACATATATGCACATGTATTTATACTCGGTATGACGTAGGTATACGATTTCATATACACACTTGGCAACTTTTCATTGAACAAAAATAAAAATAGTTCAAATCTCTGTCCATTATTATAAATAATAACATGAAATCTCAAAAGTTTATTTTTTGTCTTGCGATGTTCATTTTTACCTCTCGCTTAAAGACTGTCGAGTCATTGTTGACAAAATTGTAGTGAGAAAAGCGCTGTGAATAGTGACGACGAGACTTGCGATATACAACAATGCTCCCGAAATGAAACTAAAGACGATTTCCGGTAGCGTGACAGCAAAAAGAATTCGCAAGATCGATTGTCACGCTAACAACGGTCACGCCAAGACGTCTAATCGCATGCGTTCAATAAACTGGTCTTTTTTTCCAAAAGTTCGGGACAATTAGCGCGACCGCGCGGCCGCGCGCTGAACCGTACTTATCGCGCCACGTCCGCGAAATTTCGATAAGCCTTGTGTGAAACGCGCGTAAATCCCGCCACGGAATGTATCCCTATGACGAATGCACGCTCCCTTCGCGAGCTTCCCTTATCGATGCACGCAACTTGCTACATAGTACAGAACGATCAGATCTCAGCGCGAGTACTTCAAGCGGTGCTCTCGTGGTTTTCGTGTTTGAGTAGTCAAAGTCGAAAGTTCTCGCGCGGCTTCGCCGTGTAACGCGACACGTCCCGTTAAAATGAGCGAATTAAAAAAGGTTACGCGTTTCCGCGCGCGCGCTTTGCGGCGGGTGTTTAACACACTCGAGAACTTGTTTAAGTCCGTAATCCCTCAAACGCCCTTCTTATCTATTCCCCGCAAATTCCGACCCTCATTACGACCTATCGCGATTTAATAAAGGGGAAAGTTAGGTAAACGAAAGCCTTTAAGTGTAATTGCTAGTCCGAGCGAACGCGATAGCCCTCGCTATCTCTAATAATACGACTGTCGTGCATCAAAGTTGTGTTGCGCGCCGAGGCCGAGGCGATTCCGATCTCGGAGATCTCATCCTGACGACCTGACGAGCGCGCGAGGCAAGAACGTCGGAGATGCTTCCTCCCTATGAGGCCCGAAGTGGGTGTATTGTTACCCTCGCCCTTAAAACCACGACCCGATCGACCGTCGGTCATTTAACGCGCGCGCCTCCGTTCGTTTCTGTCTCTTCCTGCGACGCAAGGAGATACGACGTTCGAGGAATTCGCATCGAGGAAGAGAGTACGCGATTACTTCCCGTACGGCGGATAATTGAACAATTACGTACGGCAGTACCGCGCGCTTTCAGCCGAGCGAGCGCTCTCTTCGCGCGAAGCGGTTCCACGAATAGATTCGGAAACGCGGACGAGAACGAGAAGAGAGAAGAGAGTAAAGATTTGTCGAAGAAGAGGAAGGATAGCAGAAAGCCTCGAGACGTACCGTGAGAGAGCGTAAAACGGCAAGAAAGTGTAGGCGGGCGTGTTATACGAAGGCGTGGGAGCAATTAAAAAGTTTGATTACCTTGCGACGAGTCATGTTGAACTCACGACTGCACCCCTTGCATTGGGTGACCAACCGATCGTTCGCCCAGGTTACCGCGCCCTCTTGCAGCGACTGCTGCTGCTGCAGCTGAGCATTGTCAGCGGCCTCGCGCAGCTCGGCCGCCGCTAATTTGGCCGCGCTCAATTGTCCTCCAAGTTCCTCCAGAGTTCGTTCGTGTTCGCTGCACACCTCCTTCAGCGCGTAATATTCCTCTTGCAACGTCAAGTATTTCTGGAACAACGGGACACACCGATTCGACGATTATTCTCATCCTTCCGCGCGTAATTCGCGCTCGTCTGCTCGCCGATTAAGTGCGCGCGTCGTGTCTGTTAAAGTGTAAACGCGACGACAATCCGCGAACTTCCGCCGCGAACAATTAATTTATTGTGTCATCCGTTTGCAAAAGCATTTCTATATATATATAATAAATTCAAATAATTATACACAATTGTGTCCTTCTTTTTTTCCAATTTTCGCTTTTTTTTACTTCGCAATAATTCGATTTCTAACTTTATCCTCTGCGTCTCTCCGCGGAAATGTAGTATATTCTTATGTCTTTAATTAGTTAATAAGCATATTATATCCAATTGCGTCCGGTGAATAACTTGCTCTCTGTTCTAATTATAAAATCAATTTATTTTTACTCAGCCGTCAAATAGCGCGCCCACGTGATACCGCTTTCGGAATTCGCGCAGAGAGAATACGGTATGCGGTTGGAATAAATCTCGTTAATCTATTTCAATGCGACGTTGCGCTATCACTGTCGGTTCTATTATCGAAGAAACGGATAAATCCTCGCGACCGATTCGACCGATTGAATTAGGTGTCCGGGCTTATAATCTCCACGCTGGCGGGTTTCGAAATGGGATTTAAATAGAAAAAGATCGGTTATCTCGCAACACGCGCGCGTTTCCCGCGCGCGCGTCGAGTCTGCGAACTTACAAGGCGGGCGCGACACGATAACGTTACGCAACGGAGATTTATTCGCTCCGACGGGATATATGCTTAAAAGGCAATACAGATATCGCGCTGTTATCGTTACCTCGGACACCCGCTTCAGCTGATCGATCTCCTGATGTAATTGAGAGATCTTCTCCGTGTTACAGATCGATGTTTCCTGCAAGGAGGTCCTCCATTCGCGCTCGAGCTGCAATTCCCTCTCGACCCCATTCGTCCGCGCTTCCCGCGCGACCGCCTCCGCGTCCAGAATCCTCATCCTCTCCTCCGCTCCCGATCTGACACCATCCATCTCCTTGCACCTGATTAAGTCAAATCGCTGATACTTAAATGTCGTAGGTACAAAATTCCCTCTCCCTTCCTCCTTTCCGCGCCGGAAGCCATTTCGTTCAATTGAATCAACGATCTTTAATCTCTCATACTTCGCACTCTTAGGGATTACATTGAGGTTTCAAATAAGCACGGGTGTAATGACGCGTATATTTGAGGTGATGATCCCTCCCCGTTTTCCTTTCAGCGTGAGAATCCACGTCGAATGGTAGTCTCTCGTAAATTCTTTACTGGCGAGAGAAAGTGCATTCAATTTTGTTTTTTATCGATTCATTAGCGGAAAATGCTTATATAAGACGCATCTTGATTCAAGTTTTTTTTTTTGTTTTACATTGAACTCATTGAAGCACGTCTGCTCAAAAGTAGCAATTTTCAAGTGCTTAAACGTTTTATCAAATAAGCGTCATATTGTGATTATGTTGTAAAAAAACATAAAATATTTATTTCTCGGAAAACGCATTTAAGGAACTGTTTTGCGATTGAAGTTTACCTGGTAGATTATTACATTTGTAATGTAAAACGGCAATAAATAAACTAGTAATAAATAATAGATTATTGCGTTTGTAACATAAAACGATAATAAATAAACTGGTAATAAATAGTAGGTACTCACGTATATACACACTACATTGACAGAATTTTTATCAAAATAAATTTCGTAACAAAACAATAAATCTATTTAATGTTTCAATAATAACATTACTTATGATATTGACTGACAACTTACCTTATCTAACATCGCAATTACGTACAAGGATGAGAAAATAAAGAAATTGTTTCATTTATGTTCATCTCAAGTAATATAAAATTAATACGTAACATATATATTATTAGATATAATGAAAAATAAACAATGTTAATAGAGCTGATAAATTGCGGTATCTCTTACGTCTAATTAACGATGTGTGATTTTGGGATAAACACAAACGCACGCTCTTTTCTGTCATAAATTTATTTTCGCAGCGTTGTTGGTACAAGCACACGTTAGTGTCAGAGTGCGTTATTATAATATCCACTTTGCGAGGCTTATACGAGGCTTACGTATATCAGTATATGAATATGGCACATTTTTTATTTCCGAGATAGAAGAGAGAGTAATTATTGTATTTCGAGTAATGTCTTACTTATGAATATATGAGTTCGAGATTACAGTTGTCGATAACAATAATAACGTAAACTACTCGATAATTCAATAATTATGCCGGAATTATTTCCCATTATATATGACACGAAAGATAATCATAAATTACTCAAAAAAAAAGGGGGGGAATGATTCGGTGACATGATTCAATAATCGCGAATCAGTTCCTTAAACACATTTGACGCGAATAAATCTCAATTGAAGATATAAAGATTAGTTGGAAATATACAGATTTATCTAAAGCAACCAGATTTGTTTTTCAATAATAACACATTTCAGACTCTATTGAAATAATTAAGCGTGAAGTAACGATCGACATGAGATTCGCACAATAAAATATTTGTTACTATTCTTATATATGCTCGATGAAATATTAATATATATATATATACATATATATATATATATATATATATGTATATATGTATATATTCTCTTTATTAGTACAATTATGTATATGTTATAATATATAAACCTATCGATTATTGCGAAAGACTTAAAATACGTCTCGATATCATTACTAGCTACTTGTATCGATATACAACTCTGCCTATCGAGTAGCTTTATAGTGAAGATTTGCCAATATCCCCGTGACGAGAAAAAAAGTTTCAATTAATTCTAGAGAACTTCAACGTTTCTTTCTAAAACCTATCCTATTCGATTTTGCGACGCGTTTTTCTAAGTAAAAAATAAATCATCTCTAGATACGACCTATTTATTTGTTTTGCGTGCGCTTTGTTTAATTATTGAGTATGACTGTTCGCAATTATACACAGCGACAGCTGATAGAAAAATCTTATCACAACGATTATATTTGTACGTAAATAATGCCTGCTAATCTATTGCAGTTCGACAAGTATCGAGATTCCAATGGTTCTTTTTTTTCTTTTGTTTTTTTTTAAGAAGTAGGTTACGCGTGAGAGAAGAGATTCGATTTTCAAAAATAATGTCGACTTTTCATCAAGAGTGAACAACTTCTCGTAAGAATAAAGAACAACGACGAAAAATTGCGTATGCATCAAAAAAAGTTTTGCATCGTTTGCATGTCCGGTCAGTTAAAACATGCAACATCTCGCCGACTAGAAAAATGCGACTAGAAACTACCCACGAACGCAACAAACTATTCTACACAATGGAGAAAAGTGTTTTTATTTTTTTTTTATTTTTTATTTACAAGAAATAGGACCGTTTCTCTTGAATTATTACGTTTCCGCTGCTTCGCGCGAATCGAGCGAAAATAAAAAAACTCTTGCTAAAGAGTTTTAATAAATACACGTATAATATAATATCGTTTTTCTGCGCCGCGTTTGCACGCTGGCGTTTTCTACGAGAGACACGCGTCACGATAAACATCAATACGCTATTAGATAATGCACAGTATTGATTAAGCTAATCCCATCGCTGTTTTTGCTTATCACTCTATAGGGATCTCTTCATCGGACATACCGTCGCGATACCGAGCGAAAAGCTGGTTTATCAACGCAATCTTTGCGTAGGCAAACGAGATCAGATAAGCCCCGCTTGACGGGGATGATAAAAAGCGCGTCGACGCCTCGTCGAGCGGGAAAACGCAGGATGATAAAGCGCAAAACTTTTTTCGATGCGCGTTGGCTTTATTATCACACTAATGGCTAACGCGACCGTCTAATCTCGCGTATAATAGTATGCATATACATGCGCGTGATCGGTTGCACTTATAAGTTAATTAACACTAATGAAAGACAAATTAAACATACTTCTCATCCATTTTCTGGATGGTCTCAGTCATCGACAGTGTTTTCGCTTCCAGTTTCGTGATCAGTTCTGTCTTATGTTTAAGCGAGCCTTCGCACTCCTGAAATGAATATTCATTGAGCACAAAAGCGAAAGAGAAACGATCAAATGCCCATTATTACTTAAGTAAACCTGGAATAGTAACACACAATAGCATTGATGCACACATATTGTGAGTGAGAAAATTAGTTTCACGATAGATACGTGCGAGAGTACAAAGTTAATGAAATGACATCGCGTCTTTGTCCTGTCACAATAAGATATATATTTTCATCTAAGCGAATATGATGTAACGAAATGTCTGATAAAATCTTCCCGATTTTCTCTAAAGAGCCAGATTTAAAAAATCTACTTATCTTACATCTATGTAATGTCAATCGTATTATCAGTGAAGTATGCGACGTGTGATTAAAAATTGTTAAAAATAAGTCGCTGAATTTCATGACTTGTCTAATTACTTCCACTAAACTTGCAAACAAATTGATATTTCTTGCGCGACGTAATGAGAAACCGCTTGATATTTCAACACCGCGTGAAAACTTTCACGGGAATTATTGTCTCGACGATAACGTAAAAGTCAGTGTATCCAGCGTTTCAGAAAAGAAAAAAAAAACGCTAAATCATTTCGTTACACCATAGCAATTACGTGCGATTTGTCAACCGACGATCGATTTTTTCAAAGTGGCACAGAAAAAATTCGTGTCAGGCGTGTGTTACACGGCGAATGGCGGTATGCGTGAAATGTAAAAGTGGAAACTTCTCGCGGCAAAGTAACTACTGCACAACTCTATAGTAGTCTCGAGGGTGTTCGTATAAAAAATGTACGCCTCGCGTGCAACACCGAATAGCCGGCGATATCCGAGAGTGTCGAGATCCGCTGTGGAATTAATCGTGTGAAGGGGGGTGTGGAGGGGCAGAAGGATTAGGCTGTATCTTTATTCTTTCGCGGCCTGCTCGGCCGTTGAACTGTTCGTGGATATCTCGGAAGTAGAGCGGCTCTGTTTCAATTTGTCATTCGTGGCTTTCGACGATTGCTCGTCGAACGAACGCTGATGATCGACCGTCGGCCGGGCCGTCGCGTTCGCGCTCTCCGGACAACCCCGCGGCGTGGTGGGGTTAGTCTTATAAGGAATAGATTTCGACGTGCCGCCCGGAGTGGTCGGGCTTCGCATGTTCTCGCCGTCCTTCATCAAGTGATTGTACTTCTCGAGGTTGTTAAGAATCTTGCCGATCTGATTGGTCTTCGCGTGCAGCCGGCTCACCATCTCGCCCTTCTGTGTCAGCTCATGCTCACACTCCTACAAGGGAAACACGTCGAGAAACGCAGAATTGTCTTTCCACGCCGAAATCTTCCCCAAGAAGGAAAAGATCACGGCGAACGTGCGGGGAAATTTCACGACGCACTCTTTTCAGTACGTCCTCAAAAAAAAAAAGCAATCTAAGCAAATGCTGAATTTCGCGCAGAGAAACACGTACGATTTGATTGCTTTTTTTTAACGGGCACGTTGCTGGAACATTACGGAAAGGTTATTTTGCTTTCTGTGCTGCACAACTAGTAATTCCTTGCCAATTGCAAGAATCTTGCAATTACAGCGTCCTTTATGTAAGTCTTATATAACTAAATAATATCATGGTATAGTATACTCGTTCGTGTCAATTGTGTGATTTTTTTTGTGTGATTACTTCGTAATTTACTGGAGAAAAGTGCCTGATTAGATTAAAGTACGAGTATGCTATATTACGCAAGCGCGGAAAATTCATATAAGTAAAAATATGAATACCACCTGCAGCTTTTTGTACATTTCCAAGTTGATTAGCTTGATATCCTCCAGCTGTCGTCTCAAGGATATTATAGTATCCTGCTTCTCGTGTATATCCTTCTCTAACAACTTCATAGCTACCTCCATTTCGGATTTCATGCTAATCTGTACGACAAAAAGAAAATAACAAGAATACTATTCGAACGTTTCTTGTATTTTGTACGCGCGTTCTCGTACGTTCTCGCGATTTTACTTCCGCGGTAAAGCCTCGAGCGTGCTCTAAAAATATTCTGCTCGTACGTTAAGAAAGAATATTGCTGAAAAGATACGGTCTCACAACCTGTAGCTCTAGTTCTTTCTCCAGATCCTGCCGAGATTTCTTTTCAGATTCTAATCTGCTTCTAAGCTCCTCCATTTCCGCTGTGGTCTCTGTTATTTTAAGGGGTATTTTTCCGTTCTGAAATGAGATTCGGTTTCTTCACTAACGGGGCAATCCGCACGTAACACGCAATTCTCAGCGACATGTATATACATATGCACATATATACCTCGTTTGCGTCTTTAACCTCTATGCCGAGTTCCTTTTTAAGTTGCCTGTTCTCTTCTTGAAGCGACAGAATATTGTTCTTAGCGATGGACAGATCTTCCTTCATGAGAGCATTGGTTGTTGTCAGAGATTCTACTTTGGCTTGGAGATTTGTTACCGTCGCACTAAAAATCGATAGGGGAAAATAAATCTCGGATATTGAAAACACATACGAATGTTCTTCTTGCCGCGAAAAATTCGCAAACAATCAGATATTTACTTGAGATGCCGATTGAGTTCCTCGATGTAATTCTTTTGATCGAGCACCGTGGTCATGTTATCGTTCTCCAGTTCGTCGTCCGGCGATTCACCCGGTATGTGATTACTATTGCGCAGATACAACGAGAAATCGATTACGCCTTGCTGACAGTCGAGGTCTTCTTCCTGTCACAACAACGAGCGACCGTGGCTTTTAATGTTATTATCGGCTCGCGCGCAGTTTGCGCGTAAAACACGCGACTTTAAGCCACCACTGACCTTTACGCAGAAGTTGCAATCGATCACATTCAATCCCACCAACAAACCCATTACCACAATAGCTTCCTCGCTCATCATCAAAGCGTCCGGCTCGAAATATTCGGACAAAATATCATCTTTGTGATCTATCAGAACTTTCAGATAATCCGCTAATTTCTTTTGCATCAGCGCCATGCGCAACCAAGCACGCGCCCTACCCATAGCCGTTCTGAAAATAGATTTTCAAAATTCCACACCCACACCAAAAACGAATTTCACAAAGAAGTGTTCACAAAAATCACAGAAGCATTTTGTTTTTTAAATGATGAGAGATAAAATAAAGATAAAAGAGTAATCTTTTTTTAAAATACAATTTTTAAAAATTCGAGAAACTAATCATTTGATAACGAGAATTTATTTTTTTTTTTTTAATAAAAGAATCGATAAATTAGAAATTAAATTAATTAACGTTACATATAGTTAAATAAAGTTACATCAAATTTAAACGCGAATGAATAAATATGAGTGTACGTGTTAAACTTTCTCAGAATAGAAATTCGCAGTACCTAACAGTCGGTAAATCACGAATGCTGGATGTAATATCTTGAGCTTCGGGACAATACTTTTCTACGAGCTGAAGAATATCCCACAGCTCTTTCTTGGGTCCGAGAAGACCCTGAAATCGGAAACTAGTTAGTAAACTTTCTCAAAAAGCTCACTTCTCATACGAGGTGTGTTGTTTTACCTTCTTCGGCCGTAAGCCGTGCCTGAGCACGTGTTCGAGCACAATGAAGAAATGTTGCAATGGCATGTGATCGGAATCGAGCATACGACCATATTTCAAGGACGTTTCAATCAGCTCCTTGACGATTAGTTTCGAAATGTTAACGAGATTACTCCTCTCGATGATTACCGGATCTCGTGCTGCAAAAACAATTACGTGTCTGTTCTAACTCACACATTTGAACTTTCCCTGATCGTAATTTTTCCTCATTAATGCTTACAATAACGACTTCGACAAATGTCAGAGTTACTAGAATATTCTTAATCGTGAAAAGAGATGTTTGCAACAGCATAAAATATGAGTTAATGATTTCGTTTTTTTTTCAAAATAAATAAACAAATAAAGTGGTAACACTCAAAGCAAAGAGTTCCGCAACAGCGGTGTGAAGAAATGCGTTTCGCCCAAAGCGCCCACGCGAAAGCGTGACAGAAGAAAAGGAACGTTTTTTTCCGCGAACAAGAAAAGCAACAAGTAACAACAATATAATAATAACGCCTGTATATGTAGTTAACCTTCGTTGAATCAAACTCAGGAAAACGGAATATGCGAAATTCTGCTACAAGGAAATGGGTTGAGTGCAAGAACATCGAGTACAGACACAAGCTGGAGACGTGCTGCAATGGCGGTGGACTTGGCGGCATAATATCGCGAAGCTCTTGCTGTTGCTCGGAAAGCTGTTGTCGTTCGTGATGGTGATGGTGATCATGATGGTGATTAATACCACTGAGTGCGAGCGGCGGCGATGGCGACCGTTGCATCGAGTCCTGGAGCGAGAACTCGACGTCCTGGAGCTCCTTCAGGCATAGCCACTCTCCGTCCACCGACACGCGAAAATTGCACAGATATATCGTGTCCTGAGCACCAGCCATGTCTTCCTCCAGCATGACCCCGCCGTGATGTACACCACCGTGATCGCCCGGCGGCCGCAGTTTCAGGCCAGTCAGGGATTCCTGCCGCATAGAAGACGATTCCTCTATCGCGTCGCTCGCCCAATCGATTTCGGAGATTGTCCCGATTATTTTTCGTTCGCAGATTCTTCACACTTGCTTATAATATCAATATTTCTTCGATTATCGTTCGAGTTGGATTCTTCTCGTTGTTAAATTATTTTGTTCTTAATCAACAATCGTCAAGTTGTGCTTTCAATAAATCTTTCTTGGTCTATACGCGTCTGTGAGTCGAAGTATCTTCTTCTCGCTGCATCGATCAGCTGATGGAGAAATATGTCGCAATGGATGAGTCACCAAATAATATATCGCGGTCGAGCTCGTATTGTTGGCAACCAGATGACAATCTGCGTCCACTGTATTTATTCTCTACTGGTTTATCTCTTCTTCATGTTATTCTTCTTTTACCGTTGATATGTGGTATATTATTAACAAATAGATCTTGCCAGCAATTGTAACGAGAAATTAATTCGGTCAAGTAGCAGGTATCGAAGTAACGTCAAATAAAAATGTAGCTGAATCGAAGAAGACGATAGTCGCGCACTACTTGGACTACATTGTAGTTTTGCAGAGATTCGATCACTCGTTCGTAAAAACGACACGGAAAATCCTACGCACTTTTTGACAACAAGAAAACAACTTGTGAAATTTTATGCGATTGCGTCGAGTGTGGAAAATATCATGTCGAAAATAGCAAGAGCACCGGCGAAATGTGATATTGATTTTCCCGCTGACTCTGCCTCCATCTGCGAAAATCAATACCGGTGGCAGTGCCCGTGGCTGCAGAGTGCTGCCATCGTTTATCCGCTCTATCGATATAACAGTATACAAACTGCGCTCTTTTTTAGGTAACATGAATGCCATACAAAAAGATTTGTTTAATCATTAAAACTTTTATATACGAAGATAGGATAATAAAAAATACACCATTGTTTATTTCAAAATTTTATTTCAACGTTACAAAATCAAAGAAACTTAAAAATATTTACATAAAATTATCTCACATATAATTAGTAGTATAAAATTTTAATTAACACTGTGATTGTGCGTGCTGTAACGTTTATCGATTTTATTTATCACTCAAACGTAAGAAATTATTGCAGTCTTTTCCTTTATTTATCGCATTGCAAACGTTTCGCATTTACGCACATTTTTACACATTACACCAGAGCAATTAATCACGTGCGTACAAAAAAATGTTACGGAAAAAAAATTACATACGTCTCGCAGGATTTTTTGTGATACACGCAACAGACGACGATGCGCATATGAAGATCCGACAATGTGTAACGCACTATGTTATGTAGAAGATATCACTGTGTTCTCGAAATACATTTCTTTCTTATCACTCGAGATTACAACTGTCCATCGTAAATACCAGAGCAGTATTGAAACAGCTGCTGTTACGAGAAGTTTACTGTTCAAAATTATATTAAACTTTCCTAGTCCTAAATTTATAATAAAAAAAGCTCATGTGTATAAAACATTAATTCTAGTCCTTTTCGGCAAAATCGCATAATTAGTAGATCAAAGCTAATTGATTTCAATTAATCTCTGCGAGTGAAAAATTCTTCTGGATCAATGATAATGAGAAATTTTGCATTTTATACGTGCGATCTCACAACACATACACTATTCACATCCTACACAGACATAAAATCCATTAGACGTCTAATGGACGTCCGTAACTCCATGTGACGTCTAATGAACATCTAATGGAGGTGTGTATAGAGTATGTAGGATGGTCTCACATCTCGTTGTCAATCAAATTTAACAATATACTATTTTCGGATTTAACAATCGTATAATAAATTTTCATATACCGCACGAAGAAAATTGTTTTTTTCATTGATAAAACATAAGAGTCAATGATTTATGCAACTGGAGAATTAACTGGTAAATACATAATAATTGCATTAAGAATGATAATATTGCTTTTATATAAGAAAATAAAGTTTTACTAATATAATAATACGGCCAATAAGAACAATTTGCTAAGCTCGCTGAGTTTTTTGTCTCATCAACAAAATGTTTTGTTGGCACAGCAAAAATTTGTTTCCATGTATTTGTTTGTCAGTAACATATTATCCTGCTTCTATCAGAAGTTCTAACCGGCACGAAACGACAAAGAATATCAGCGACACGTGCGCGCACATCACGTTCCGCGCGCTGATTTCGCGCGCGCCAAAGCCGCGAAGCGCGTACTTTCGAAAAGCGCGCCGGATCGCGTGGCACAAGGCATGCATCCGTGTCGCTTTTGTTGTGTACTCACGTCTCGGCAGCCACCAGGCATCCAGCTTTCTCGGTCGGGACACGACGAGGTCCGGCCATTTATCCTCTCGTATCGAGTAGCTCGACGGCGAACGCGAGACACTCTTTTCATTTTCGTCGGACGCGAAACTACCGGTGAGCGACTTCTCGGACGGGGATATTGGCAAACCGTCGCTACTCTCTGCGGCCATGTTTACGTTTCTACTAGTAGTTTCCGCCGCCGACCTCTGTGGCGCATTCATTTACCGACGTGTTCGCTGTGATAAGCATATATCCGTATACTACTGACACGTACGTGTATCTCACAATCAGAAAACAAACTGCACGTCTAAAACACGCAAGAGTTTTTTAAAACTCTTTCTAGATTTATGCCAAGAGGACAATGTAAAAAGATTTATTTAGACATCTTTTCGAAATTAATATAACGTTAAATAATACTGAATTTATTGTTTTCTCAACGACTTATAAATGTTAGTACATGTGCAGAAATTAAAATATCTGTAATATTTTCTAAAATTCTTTAATATGGAAATGTTCTAAATCTTACTTTGTAACATATGAAACATATTTCAACATATAATATCTACAGACATGTAATAAAAGTTTTACTTTTTGGAACAACAATCTGAGGAAGCAACTACCTACACAGAACAAAAACTCCATTAGACATACATTAGACATCAAAAGCTCTATGCGATATCTAATAAATGTCTAATGGAGTTTTTGTTCTGTGTGGGTAGCAATGTTTCTTTTGAATCACACACGTAGTTGCAAAAATGATTTATTTAATAATAAAAATTAAAATTAATAAACATTTTAATAAAGATTTTTTACAACTGAGATTTTTTACAACTAATTCATTTCTAGGCAATCAGCTGACGTAATGACGTTAATATAAAGTCAGTTTTTGATCCGTTTCGACGTTAGTTTATGACGTAATATTAATGTAATGACGACGTGAGTTTGTTTCGTCAAAAATAACGTCAGATTAATGACGTTTCCTTACGTAAGGAAACGTCATTAATCTGACGTAAGGAAACGTCATTAATCTGACGTAACGTGACTAATGTGACATCCCACATAGCACGTAATATTACTGCAATTTCACAGTAATATTGTTTTTCTATTACAATATTGCACTCTAATATAATATAAATATTACCGTAATATAATATCACAATAATATTGAAATGTCTGCCGAAATGCATCACAGTAATAATATGTAAAAGAATATGTAAAAAAAATAATATGTAAAAAAACTAATGACACATCGTAAGAGAGAAATTAATTCGAGTGAAATCTAGAATTAATTTCTCCTCTTAAGGCAATGTGCCATTGATTTTTTTTTTTATATATTACCGTAATATTGCTGTGATGCATTTTGGTGGATATTTTAATATTACTGTGATATTACATTAACATTACGGTAATATTTCTACTATATTAGAGTGTAATATTGCAATGGAAAAACAATGTTAGTGTGATATTGCAGTAATATTACGTGCTATGTGAGATATAGATGTAATATATTGATAATATTATTATAATATTGTATTATAATATCTAATATTACTGGTTTATTGCAATTTTACTATAATATTTCCGTAATATTACGTGCGACGTGGGATCTTATATATAATATATAAATGTATACTCAAAAACAAATTTTTAACAACGTGTTATTTAAATAATGTCATTATGACGTCTTATTTACTTATTTCAACTGACGTCACTCCAAAGACCAATAGTTACATCATATATAACGTATACGTATGACGTATATATTGTATACGTATATACAGTATACGTATATACTGACGTCATTGTTATGACGTTCAAAATAACGTCAGATTTAGGTCATAATCACCAATTAATGATAAAAATCACGTATATTTACGTCATTACAATGTCAGTTGGTTGCTTAGGTTATAACGTGTTTCTATATGTGATCTACTTTTAATTAACTTAAGTAATTAAATTAAAAAGTAAGATATTATATATATATATATACATAGAATTACATTATAATTACTTATCTCAATTAAAATTTTTTATTTTATTAGATATATATTATATCTATATTTAATATATTCAGTATATACTAAAATAAGAAAATGGATAAAAGATTAATATTTTATATTCATTTCGTTTCTTTTTAATTTAATGAAATTATTTCTTATAATAAGAATATAATAGTAAGATATTGATTGAGTAAAATATACATGTTTATAAAAGTATTTGTATTAATTTTGTGTAAATATATTCTGATAAAAAAATAGCGCACAGAAACGTATTCAATGTATTTTGCATATCTCTTTTCATCTTATATAATATTAACGCTATCTTACTTTTATCTTACTTTTATGTTTCACTTTTCTGCCACTTAGGCGATAGTAGTGCTGTTAATCTTCATTACAGCATGAAAATATCGAGCAATCCATGGTCATACAGTCGAAGTATTTTACGTGTTGCCGTCTACGAGCGCCGCAATGTTCACGTATTATGCACATGAAAACATTTTACGAACCATGCAGAAAATGAAAAATTCTGATAGTTTATAGTAAAAGCCAGAATCACAACCACATTTGTATAAAAGTAGTTTGAGTCTTCGTGAAAATATTTATAATTGCAATTTAGCAATAACTAACAAATCACTAAAATTTTCATTAAATATATTGTACAATTTTATATCAAAAATGTAAAATTTTAATAATTTTAGATAGATGTAAGATAAAAATAAATATTCTGTGAGCAGTTTAAAAATCGTGTATAAGACAGATATAGGCATTACGTCTAGTTACATAAAAGATGTAACACATATACACACGCATATATACATATATATAAGTTTTAGGATGTTAGAGTTTTGTAAAAAAGTTTTGAGATAATCACATCTATATATTACGAAAGAATAATTAATTACCGCATCGCTTTCTCCTCGTTGAAGTGTTTTATCGCTCAAAGAATTAATATAAGTTCCATTTTTCTCTTTCTATATCGCGTATACAGATCTTGTTACTTATATTTCTTATAGTCAACGCCGAATGCAAGAGACTCTTTTTACAATACCACTATTTTAATTAATAAAGTATTTGTAATTTTATAAAATATTATTATTTTATTTATTTATTCTTCTATCTATCTTGTCATTACTTGGATATTTTGCACCTTTTGTAGCAAAATGTGTAAAGCTGATGTATGTGAATTTTAAACAGCATTAACATTTTCTCTGTACTTTACCTCTTATATTTCATGAATACATCTACATGCTTTTGTATGTATAGTTTTACTATTTTTAGCGATTCTCTTTTAGTTGAGTAATCTTCTTGAATTGTCTTTCCGCTAGAATTTTTCTTGATAAAATTACATCAATCTCCTTACAACAGGTTGTTTTATTTTCCGAAACATTCAAGTGTGAACGCCTTAGGGAATAGAGTGTGATAAAGTCTGCGCACGCATCGCGTATCTTTCGATGCCATCCCCTGCTGGGTTGAGTAACCCTCAAGCCACTGGATCAGTCGAAACTGGATCCTCCGCGCGTCATTCGACTTCCCTCTCTCCATTGAACGTCCGAGGATATCGGTCTATTGTTCAAATGACATTGCGTGCTGCGCTTCTGAATCCGATGGCGCGAAACACTTGTCTTTCAAGTATCATACCGAAGCGAGATTCGTAGGACAATGCGGAAGATTTGGCTTTGTAGACTTGCAAAGAACAGTTGTTCTGAGATTTATCCACGCGAATTTTAATTAACAAACGTTTAGAGTTAAAAAAAATAAATAAATAAATACATACATAAAACGAAGTTCGCGAGCGCGTTTGTCAAGATGTACGGGATGCTGTTGGAAAGTGTGCAATATTTTGTGCAGGTAAAGTGCAAGAGTAAATCGTAGAACTGATATCTATACTTTGGCTAACTGGGATACATTCTTATTTGTATTTGAAAAATGATTGAGTTTAAGTTAAAATTTTAGTTCTTCAGTTTTCTTCGCGGTAAGTAATTTCCGTTCGTACTTATTGTACTTATTGTACTTATTGTATTTTCGTTTAATGTGAACAATATAATTACGTAGAAATTAAATGTTTAGTTTGTTAACAAAAAGTTATTGGACTTTATTTTATTAATATAACAATTTTGCTTTTAATTAAGAGAAATGACTTGATAATAAGTAATTCGCGCAACTGTACAAAGTTGCGAACATTAGCGAATATGCAGCAGACATATTGACTTTCTAGAACTATTAAACTTCTCTTCTACATTACTAAAGTAATTTAAACGTCTCGCATCCTGCAAGACGTTTTGTTACGTTGAGGTGTCAACACAACAAAAGTGATACAGAAGTCAAAAGATTCTGCATATATACATATAATAGCATGATTTTAAAATTTGCATGTCCTAAGTTAGCACAAAATTAATGTTTAATTTATTATTGAAGTATTCTTCTAATCAAACAATCGTTTTTAAATTTTAAAATTGTTGAAAGTGCTTTTGTTTAACAATTTATGCAATTTATATTTATCTAAAATACATACAAATGTTTAAAACAGTATTTCTTACTTCTTTTCAATCTTTTCATCTTGATATATTTTCTTTTATTTCATGTAAAAAGAAAAAGAAAAAGACATACGATCAATTTCATTTTTATCTCTATTTTTAAAGGATATCTTTCAGCTGCGCATGTGCTTTTTATTCATTCACTTTTTCTTCAGCAGATAATTTTCTTTGTGAAATTTTTATGGAAAAAATAAAAATCTAATACTCTCTGTAACAACTCTCTTATAAATTTAATATAAAAAAACCAAATGCAAATTGATCGATTTAATCAATTGTTACATTAAAAAATAGAAAGATAACATGTATGCAGGAAATACTTTGTGTAAGAAGTCGAAGTAAATTGTAGATATATGGCATTAAAGTATTTGTCACTGACATAACATTATTGGCAAATGTCATCTAAAGAGATTAATTGCACGTTCGTTAGTAAACCCGTTTTAATGAACTGTGTATAACCAACGGCTATTTAGTTGGTAAGCTAAATCAAAATACGCTCGTATCACCATCAGCAATTTGCTTTACACTGTTGTAGAAGATAACGTAGAACAGCCAAATTAAAACTATTTATCAATCTATAGCACATCCAATTTCCCAGGAGAAAATGAAGATCATCGTACTACTTCTAACATGTTTTTCTTTTTAAAAATATCTTTTTTTTACTGCAATCATAATTAATTGCTAATAATCTACCTAAAGGATTCTAATGTTTAAATAATAGCTCATATGTACATAAAAAATAGAATGTAATAATTTAATGAAAATTTTGAACAAAAAAAATTTGAAGATTTATGTAAAAATAATTACAATTATAAGAATTATATGAATTACAAGAATTATAAAAAATATAAATATTTGTAAAATTCTTTTGTCTCTTGATTTTACAAATAGTTTTCATTTTGCAATAATTAGACCACATTTTCGCATCTGTTAAAATTTGAACATTTACGTGTACAATTACGATGTACACAAGGGTTTTATATTATCTATTAATTATGTTGAATTACAGTTTAACATGTTGGCAAAAGAGATAAAAGCGACATCGTCTCTCTCTTGTTTGACGTCACACTGTGAGAAAAAGTAATTAAATGAATGTGTTCCTCACTTTGTTTCGCTTACTTTCTTAGGTCATCCGAAATTGATCCGCGTACTTATATTGTGCGTCACGTATCCGTCGAAGGAAGTGCTTCGTAGATGTGTAATAAATGAAGTACTTGAATATGGATGGATGAGAACACTTCCTTTTAGTTCGACACCTTAATTGTACGGAGTGTAAAAATAGCATTAATTTATACCGACACGTAAAGAACTATTGATTTGTTTTAATAACATCTCTCTCAACATCTCCGTTTATTATTGCCGAGACAATTATTATACTCACATGTCTAAAATCTATATGTTTTTTTTTAAATATCTACAAATGTTTAAGGCGGAACGTTTCCATCTTGTAAATTTGCGTGTTCATTTGCGATATGACTCCCGAGAGCTTTTCTTATTAAGGATCACATATCCATTTTCGTGATCGTCTCCCATCCTAGTAAAAGAAACATTAATTGTCCCTCAGAGAAGGGACAATTGGCTTGATTATCCGAATCGATTTGCAATTGGTATATGGAACCTGTTGTCTGACACGTAATCCACAGATAGATATTTCTCTCTTTAACATGTAACACTTTATATTCAACATAAAACTACGCAATCTCTTTGCGTGGTATTATTTATCTTTATAATTTGCAATAAATTATAGCGGTTAAAAATTTATGTTTTACAGTTAGAATTTGGCGAGGAGATATGGCAACATATTCTGGAAAAATCTGAGAGCAAATATATGGTTTTTAATACGAGGCAAACATATCCGGATGAACTAATGACTAATTTAGCGTCAGCTCTTGCCGAATACACCGGTGATACTATAGAGAACGTTATGCGATTTTTCGGAAAGTGCTTCGTTCGATTTTTCAGTAATTTAGGGTAAGAAGAAAGCTTTTTTTTAGGGCAAAACGTCATCACAGAATGTATTATAATTTCAATTTTATACAAATTTATAATTTTATTTTGAATATTACTTGTGTTATCGAAAACAGATATATTAAATCTACGTTTGAGATATAAAATATGACGGTGTATTCATTCGTAATACGCGTAAATATTGATGTAAATATCTCAGTGCGTTATATCGACGGCGATACTTAATAAATAAGTGGTACACAAGCTATTTCAAATTCGTATATTTGAAAGTGTTAAGTTGTAAAACTGTTAAGTTAAATAGAAATATATTCTTCAAATATATTGGTTTACATTATTGTATATTATGTACCATATTATTACAGTCTTTTACATTGAGAATAAATTCTTTAACTTTTTTTACATAAATTCTTTCTATTCCATGGGGAAGTTCGAGTTAAACCTTTTTCGATATCTGAGCGCCTCATCTTTCTGTGTTAAATTACGCTCTTTTAATGAGAACAGAAAATCGAAGCGCAACATAAAAATTATAAGAGACAGAACTTAACACCGGTCAAATCTTATAGAATCAAACAGTTTAAATGTGCATTCAAAATACAACAAAAAATACTCCATATTAATACAGTCACAACACATATTTCTGTTATATCTAATTATTATATATAAACTCTCTGCATCCGGGAACATTTATGTTAATAAAAATTTACATTTTAACGCTCAGCTCTTTTGCTTCGTTAGATACGACTGCACTATTAAAGCAACCGGTCGTTACTTTTGCGATTTTTTACAAAGCGTTGACAATATTCACATGCAAATGAGGTTCACGTATCCAAAGATGAAGAGTCCCTCTATGTATATAACACACGTGGATCCTGAAGGAGTTGTTCTAGTTTACAGAAGCACCCGACAGGGTTTTACGCATTATCTAATGGGTGAGAATTAATTTTTGAAAGTTACAAATCAAATTATCTACAATTACCCACAACGACCTCGTTCTTTTGCAGGACAATTATTTCAAATAGCGAAAGACTTGTACAATACCGAATTGAATATCAGAGTGTTAGAGAGTTCAAACAATATTCCAGGATCTCGAAGCGTCATGGTGAAATTTCGTATTGATTTCGACAACCGCCAATACGTGAGTTGTTTTTTTCCGCGCTTGTATTTACTTAATCGATTAGAAGTTGTTACCCTAAAGAAGAGTTTTGTATTTTTATTTACGAAAATATAATATAATCTCCCGAAACTACATTTTTTTCAACTATTACATTTTGTTTTGGAAAATATCAGATCGCCAAGAGCAACGAAATGAAAACTCCACTGGGACGTGAATATCCACCGGTTTCCTGCACGTTTTTCTTGCGACTTTTTCCATTTGCTGTTGTAATGAACAAGGATATGAGAATCCTAGGAGCAGGTGATAAACTGCTCCAGGCGTGGGGCGGCACAACATCCATTTTAAATAAACCTGTTATAGAAGTATTTAAGCTAAGAAGACCCACAGGAATTTCGTTCACGTGGGGAAACGTAAGTAGCGCACTAAATTATCTAGAGAATAAAAGTGGTTGTTTACTCTCTCGGTAGATATTTCTTTAGAAATTTTAATTAAAGTTAATTCTCTGTAGAATACTTTGTGAAACGTTATAAGATGCATAAGATGCATATCATACATAAGTAAAACAGATGCAATTAGGTGACTTTGTGTTCCCAGCTGATGTATTTGCACTCGGTGATATTTGAATTAGAACTTATTAGAGCGAACGATCCCAATTTCTCGATTAATTCGAACGATATGCCGAGCACGAGTAGCGGTCTGGATAGGCGTGGAAGTCAAGGTGCGAGAAGTATCTTGCTAAAGGGCCAGATGCGATACATTGACGACATTAAAGCGATTATATTCCTTTGCAGTCCTCTGTGAGTTTTTGAATTTTGTAGTAATTAACAGACTTATATAATAATGAAATTCTTTTCGACAATATAGAATCAACAGCTTGGACGATCTTTTTCACATGGGACTGTATCTGAACGATCTGAATCCTCACGGCCTGAGCAAAGAATTAGTACTGAGAGGATGGCAACATTGCGGAAGGTGAGAATGCGTATTTTCACAATTTTACCCAAAAAACAATGTAAAAAGCATTTTGTCGCATCGAGAAAAATATTTTTAGCAACTGAACGTTTTTTACGTGCGTGCAATCTTCTATTTTTTGATGCGTAAGGTTGGAGATGATGTTCGAGAGGGCGGAACAAAGATCGGCCGAACTGGAGAACAGCTACGTGTTGCTGGACCGATGGAAATATAAAAGCGACGAGCTCTTATACTCTATGATTCCGCAAACGGTGGCTGATCGATTGCGAAGCGGAGCCAGTCCGCTGAGCACTTGCGAGGTTCGCAAACAGACCACAAAAATGTTAAAACGAATTTTAAAATATCTAATAGCTATTCGCTTTTTGAAAAACGTTCTATTTGCAGTCGTTCGAGTCGATAACCGTGCTCTTTTGCGAATTATGCGACTTCGATTACTCAACCATCGAGGGAGCGATGGATGTCGTCTTGTCGATGAACGCCGTTTTTTCATGCTTCGATACGCTGATGGATCAATTTAATGTGTACAAAGTAAAGAGATTAAAACATTTTATCGAAATTGAAGTAAACATATTTACACGTTTTCTTTGTTCTCAGTTTATTTCTATCACTCTGTTAAAAAAAAAAAAATAAAACAAATATCGCTCGAGATTTTAATTGTTGAATTTACGATTGTTTTAATAGGTGGAAACTGTCGGACGTGTGTACATGGCGGCGAGCGGAGCGCCAGATAAAAATGAGAACCACGCGCAGAACATTGCCGACGTTTCTCTGCAACTTATCGAGCACGTGCGATCTCTCAAACTTCCCTCCGGAATCGACATACGGATTCGTATAGGTAACCACGATGATTCATTCCGCGAGTGTAGTTTCTCCTCTTTTGGATGTTTCGGTAAAACATTTAGTCTTTTTTTTTATCCGACGATTCAGACATCGTATTCGAGTCTAATATTAAGAACACGAATTGTCAAGATGGCGGAATATCTTTTGGAATGTCGCAGGAATTCACTCGGGACCGGCTGTCGCCGGTGTGGTCGGTATCAAGGTACCGAGGTATTGTTTCTTCGGTGATACCGTTAATACAGCCTCTAGAATGCAAACTACCAGTCTGGTGCGCAGTTTTTCTTAAATATCTTTATTTTATTTATTTAAGTGTTTGTTATATTTGTCACTCTTGTATTTAATTACATTGTGCTTAGCCGGGAAAGGTGCATATATCATCCAACACGAAAGCATTGTTACCTAAACATCGCTATTGCACCGAATCACGTGGCATTGTGTGGGTAAAAGTGAGTATTGTGCAAATTGTTATTATACATCATCTACGTATGTGTTAAGTTTTATATTATTTATCGTGCGAAATAAAGGGAAAAGGAGACATGGAGACGTATTGGCTACAATCAGCGATAAACGACGAGAAGAAAAAAGAAAACAACTTGTCGAACGATGACAACGACGATGTGATAGTCACAAGGCCTTCTAGTCACTAGCATATAAAATTTTACTTAAATAAAATTTCACGTTTAGGTGTAACATAATAATATTAAAAAAAAAAAACGAGATTGTCTTGTATAGATAGAAAAAATTCATTTATCTATTTTTGATGTCATCTACATGTGTAAAACAAAGATCTATCATTTACTATTTAAGGTTTAATTGTTTCCGCAATATATACATGTGTATATCGTATATATATGTGATATATATAATATATATATATATATAACATTATCACTATTCTATAAAAAAAAACAATTATCACCCAAAAGAACTTTTTACATATCAATTTGAAGTGTACAATGACTGTTCTTTGTATCGATGTGCAATTTGATTGTTGATGTGATGTGTATGTACGTGAAGTTTCACCAAAATTCCAAATCGTTTGGTCGCGCGAGAAACAGAGAAAGTACTGTAAGACTTTCTTTCATTTTACATTGCGAATATTGACCGATATAGGGAACGACGTGCGTGCCTTAATTTTCAATTATTGTGTGCGAACGAAACATCATAAAGTCGCGCGGTTATACCATGTATAACCGCGCGCAATCGCGAAATGTTAAATTATGAATGTTTAGATGCGTGTTATTGAAGTATAAATAAATTAATATATCTTAATGTAATGCAACACCAAAAATTATGTAATTGTATACATGTCATTCAGAATGTGAACGCTTGATTGCTTACGTGCGATTCGCATTGACTGTTTTGTCTCATTGTCGAAGAAAAATAAATGTAAAATTAATTGAAATAAACACGTGTCAGTCTATATGAAACAGTTTGCATCAACAGTAGCAACCTTCCTGCGTGTTCTGCGCAATCCACGTGAGAAATCGATTCACTCTGCTGTAAACTCCGGGATATCCCGGCTTCGCGCACCCTTCTCCCCATGAGACAACTCCTATAAAACAGAAACATTTTTAGTTCCAAAACATTTTAGTTTGTGTGTTCCGCGTGAGAGTTCTGAGTCTTCATCAGAGTTTCCTTATATATCCAACAACTTCCGCGCACATGTTGTCTTACGATTAAATAAGTCTAATGAAACTTGAAGCTTACCGACTATCTGATGCACGTTATTGTTTTCCACGTGCAACGGGCCACCGCTATCTCCCTACAATAAAAGAACTTACATTGCACTTTGTTCTCTTAAATTGAGTTTTAAACTTTTTAACAAGAGATTTTGCGCGTTTTTCACAAAGTCAAGAAACGTAAAAAGAAATTGCGATTGAAAAATGGTTAAGTTATTAGAAACACAAAATTATAGAAAATATCACAACACGCAAAACATACTCTCAGTTACATGCAACTGTGAGCGTAATCTGTACAAAAATGTCTATAAATGTTTTTACGCAATTAAATAAGGATCGAGTCGTTTGTTGAATTAAAATTTCTTGCATACTTGACACGAATCTTTTCCGCCTTCCTCATAGCCGGCGCACAACATATTATCCGTTATTCTGCGTGACGGATATTTCGTTGCGCGGCATTCCGCGTTCGTCAGAATAGGTACGACAACTTCTTGCAAGGTGTGCGATACCATTCCACTTTCTTTAACTGCGCCCCATCCGGTCACTATGCCCTTTTCACCGGCAAACGTTTTCGCTAAAAAAAAAAAAAAATAACTAAATCGATAGGTGTCATAAGAACAAATTCATTTTGTTATCGGTTTCTCAAACTTGTGATATTAAAACCACATAACACCTAAAATTGACGATTAATTTGACATCTGATGTTTATACAAGTGGTATGTATCTTTTTAAATCATATTTTGACTATTTACTTCGGTCTGGAAGGCAAACAGGTCGCAGAGGTCCTTCGAACACAATACTGTTTTTTAATTTGACAAGCCCAATGTCGTTGTTGTAATTCGTAGTCGAGTAACCGCTGTGTTTGATCGTTCTTTCAACTCGGAATTCTTGCATTTTGGTTTCGTTGTTCACGCTCCAATCGTGCTCGAACACCCGAACACTCATTCGAGATATATCGAACCTAGTAAGAATGATTATGATTAACGAGGTATGTGTTCGTCTGATTTTTTTCTCGTCAATCAGAAATTATCAGCACGAACAAAATCACCTGTCGATGCAGTGAGCAGCAGTCATTACAAATCGCGAATTAATGATCGAGCCGCCGCAATAAAATTGCCCTTTGTACATCAACAGAGCCATCCACGGATACTGATTGACTTGAGTCTCGACTCCTCCGACAATGCGATTGTGTTTGTTCGTCAGACCGCAGGCTACAAATAATGTGGATTTTTATTATCTTATTACTTCTCTTTTTCCTCGCAATTATTTTAGATCGAGAGTGCAAATTGCATTTATACGTTTATATTTTAATTCTTCTTTTGTATAATATATGCTATAATTATTTACAAAAAAATCTCGATAAAATTTTACAAGATTCTAATCATTTTGATTTGCTTTATTGAGAAAATATAATTAAGTCGAGCATACTGCATTTTGAACATTTCTCTGGCTCAAGTGGTGCTTGAGACGCTGGCGGTCCCACCAGACCAGCCAACCATTCCCAAAATCCTTTGTCGTCATCTGTTCCACTTACGGTACCGTTTGAACTTTGCTTCTCCTTTGCGATAGTTGAATTCAACTGCACCTGTTATTTTTAACACATTTCTTTGAATACATGTAATTTACTTTCAACACACTTCTCTTTGCATTACTAGTTATACTTCAAAGAAAATATTTTCATTTGTTCTTCAATTTCACTAAAATAACGTGTCAGAGTCGTCACTCATTCGTATTCGTTAACACATAAACGACAATACCTCATTATCGGCGGCAACTGTCATCGCACACGCTAACAGCAGCGCTAAGTAACAGCGCAAAGCGAGCAACATATTATTTCTTGCACTTGCAAACATCTAAACACCAACGGCACCAGCAACACTGCAATGTTATGTCGCGCGTATTAAGCCGATCTGATCCACCGCACTTCCTGCCGAGGCGGCGTGTACTTTCACACAAGCCGCCGGTGACGGTGTCACTTCTTTATTTATACGGAATAGTGGACAGTCCGGGTAACTGAGAAGTGAAAATTTAGGCTAGCGGTATGCAAATATCTTTCGCGAGATATAAACGTCACGAGCGTATAAAAAAAAGGTCTAATAAAACTGTTACTGATCTCGCAAAAGATCGGCCGTATATCGCTCGAACGGATTCCTCTTCTCTCCGTCTTTCGTGATTTCTCTTCCTCGAGTGAAAAAAGAAGCAAAAGCAAATGTCCCAGATAAAATAGGCTTGTCAGAAATGTTATGTCGCAAGAAATTCAAGGAAAATTATACAGAAACGTTTGTTAATTTTTTTTCTGTAAATGCATTTTTATTTCCGTTGAAGTGCACACACAAATGCATCGATATAAAAACAATAAAAAGACGTACGAAGAAGAATTTTTACGATAAAACCAATTTTTTTTTATATTGAACGCATGAGATGAAATATTATCTGTCAACGATTTGTTTACATCTCTCATTTGTTCATCTATTCTATTGTATAGTGTTTACTAGACATTATTTACATTCAATATAATCTTACAGTATGTTCAATTTAAGTTCATCGGTTCGCGTTCGTCAATTTAGACAAAAACAAAAATAGTGATAAATAATCGAGAGATTATCACTGAGCTTTTGCAGTTCATATCTGAACATTTTATGAGTTTTTATGAGAAATTCGGAGAAACTAAGTGGAGAAGAATAGTATCGAAATATGAACTCTCCAATAAAAACGCTCTTTACTTTTTGTTTTGTCACTGTTTATTTTTTACCCTCAATGAACGAATGTGCCTGGTCATTGACTTCCGTCTCGCAGAGTTCATTTTTATCGCTCTAACGTAAACAACAACAGATCCACTCAGCGTAGTAGGAGGGATAAGGCACACTTTGAATGAATATACGCGTGGGCAGAGTGTATCTTCCCGTCGCGAGCAGTGATACTGCATATAATAGGTACTTCTGGAATCTCTCAGCGTACTCGAAAGTTTAATAACTTCCACGCGGCGAGACTCGCGCGTTCGCATTATGAAAAAAATTACACTCAAGCGGATCTCCGCTTTAACATCACGTGAAAGCGTCTGTGCGGATTCTCTTGTTCCTCCGATCTTTTGTCGGTGTCTTTGATGCGTGACTCTCTCAGTCTGACCCGCGGCTTATCGCAAGTCCGATTGTGTTGCTGAACAAACGAGATAAGATGCGACAGGGCCGGGAGATTGTACGCCACCTGTAACCCGTGACAGTAGGTCAAGGTATATAGGTAACGAGACCCACATGCGGGCGAGACGCATCGCCTTATTGTGTCGCAATGTGTGCCCAACTTTATCAGGAAGCCTTGACTTCTTTTTCTTTTGTGTATCTTCATGGTCAGATTGTATCCGCAAACGTAATCTTTTCCTCAGGGGCACTGATATTTTTTGTAAACGCAAATGATAATAGAAACTGATGATATCGTAATTTCTTCCAAGAAGAATTTAAGATCGCGAGACCGAGAGAAAGAGAAAGAGAGAGAGAGAGAGAGAGAAATAGAGACGCGAGAATCAAAACAAGTTATTTAAAAGCGCAACGAGTTGTAGGACGAGTTACGGCTCGAAAGTTCAATTGCGATTCGTCTTGAGAGTTTCGTGGTGAGAGTTTTGCGACGAAGAAACACAATGCTATTGTGTTGCTTCGTGCGGCTGCAATTTTGGCGTTTAATGAAGATTGCGAGCGGGCCCATAATTTGCAGTGAAAGTAAAATTACCTGTAACTTAATAAAACGGTGTTGATAAAGCGACACAATATATCTTGTTACCGCTCTGATGGAACGAGTACGAGTATTAAATGACGCGGAACAAATTCAAATTGTAATACGCCAAAAGTAAATATCGACATTTTTAATCAAAGACCTTCCTTCCTCGCGCGCAATCTTTTCCGATATGTTCAATCGTATAACGTTGCGCGCGCGCCAATGTGTGACCGAAAAACCTGAATAAATTGAACGTTTCATTAATTCGCAAACTCATCGCATCTTTACGATTATGGCGATTTAATGGCCCGAGAAAATCCATATAACTCATTTGCGCTAAATAATGTTTGTTCTGCCTCGATGAAATCGATGACAAGGGCAGAGTCACTACTGACCCGATTGAAATCGCAAACACATCATCTCGCCACAGAGCGTGCCGGATTTCAGGAATTTCTAAGAAACTTTAAACAAGACATATTTATGTTAATTACGTTTAAAAATCACTTACTAAAATCTCAACGTAGTGTTTATCTTTATCTTATTCCACGACACACACACGCAGATAAAAAAAGACAGATATAAAAAAGCCATCTCACTTCACATAGTGTAATCTATCTCGTTGCTATGTAATCACTTTTTTAATAAATCAATTATGCTGACACTACTTGCTGATTGATCTGCTTACGCGCGAAGAAAGTGTCCCGCGCTAAATTCGGCGGTGAAAACGAAGTTTGTAAGGCGCCGCGTCTTTTGCAAGAGATGCAACACACGTTCACACGTGTGTAACGAGTGAAATCTCTTGGCCAATTATACTTGTTTTGCGCGGATTATCAGCAATGACAACCCATCACCGTCTTCATCATCATTATCGTCGCTGCCGCCGCCACCACCGCCGCAACCGCCGCTGTCGTCGTCGTTACACCGCGACAATGAATCGCGGGGTGAGACGGGGAGCGCCGATGACATTCGCGCTGACGAAATTGACATTGATCCAGTCTCGATGGATCCCTGAAAGAAGGGGTCGCCGGCGCGCGAGGTGGAGGTGGACCGGATTGACATTAGAGCTTACTTTTTCTAAGTCGGATAACCGGATAACTCGAGACCGATTAACTGATTCTTTATTTTCTTACAAACTTACACAACCGATATATAAATATTGTAATATATAACATTATTTCTTACACATGTCATTAAACTCTTATAATTATATATTATTATATCCTCCTATATTTATATTCTTATCATACTTTCTAGTTAGTACACATTGTTTTATTATTCACGTGCTGATGTTTCTTTCCTCTCATTAACACGACGGCTTATACTCGTCTTAATTATTTCTTAACTTGAAGATTTATCTCAAAGTGTATGGTTTTTTATATTGAAAATAATAAAACTGATAAAAATCAAACAAAAATAAACAAAAAAGAAAAATAAAATTCTTTTTCATACAAAATATTGTATAATGTTATATATATTATTACTATTTATGCATATATATCATATATATACATATATATACATATATGTTAATATATATGTATAATAATAACGTTTATAACACCTATAATTATACTATGAACATGTGATATTTGTTATTAGCAAAATAGTTTATTACTATTTTATATGAATGCAAACACTAGGATGACACGAGATATTTACATAGTATACGTAAATATGCAAAAATAATTTAGTCCTGTAGAACACTGGACAGTACTGGCAATTCTACAATTTTTTTCGGTTTTATGAATATTCGAAGAAGTTTTGCTCTTGGCGTCGCTAAACTTAGAAAATTCAGAAGCTGGACTATTTAAATAATCCATTTTAATCATAAAATTGTTTTTATTCTACTAAGTATCTGTTATTTTATTTTTAGTTAAACAAATGTGTCAAACGTTGTTTTTTATACATCGAACTATAGCGTGTTTCCAATCCAACGTAAAGAGAAATGATTTAACCGATTATCCCTTTTCCCTAAAGTCGGACTTTGAACATCAAAAAGCAGCCGCGGTGGTCGGCAGTCGATTGCAACACACGCGGTCGCGCGCGATTATGTTTCTACCTCTCTTTTTCGTTGTAAACAGCGATGTCTGCGCAGGTGAGACAACGAGCGCATACACCGACAGGGTCATTTAAACGCTGTCACGTGTAACATCTTCCAATGCAAACGCACTACTCAAGGTTGACGATCCCCACCGTGGCACGCGGCTGGGCAACATCAGTAGTTATAATTTCCTATAAAACGGCTAAACGGTCGGGTGGTCTGTAGACTTTTCGCGCCACCGTCACGTGCACACGACAGATCCAAAATACGCGGCGGAATTGAATCGGTACTGCATCAATCATCTGAAATAAAACACACGTGCGGCATGGACGCGAAAACGAGGCGCGCACTTGCGATTATTGTGTGCTTGAGTAACATTTACTCATCGAGTGCGGTGAGTTAATTTATCATCAATGTAGAATAATCGTCGCACAGAAGTTAGAGAGACGAAATTGTATCATTTCAAAACTTGTGATCTTATTATATTTGGAACTAATTTGTACGCGCAAGTTAATATCGGGAATTATATAGCTTGAAAGTAAAGATACACGTTGTATTCCATATTTAGTCTCTTGACAAATACCAATAAATATGTTCAAAGTATTTTTTTTATAACATATTGCAGAAGTTGCCAAAATCTTATTTAAAAATAATAAAGTTTGCGCTATATATTTAACTTACATTGTTAAGAAAAACTTTGAAATTGAAATGCAAATTAACTAATCCGTGTAAATTGGCAAAATTTGATTGATTGTTGAATAAAAACACATTTTTATTCAAGGAATAAAATTATTCAACGAACTTGAATTTGATTTTTTGTAGTTTGGCGCGAATTTTCGACGAAACTTGCCCATCTTCACCTCTCAAGTGCATTACAATTTAACGAACGCCGATGTCACGATAGACAAAACGCCATATACAGACTTCGAAACATTTGGTTCCTCTTCCGAAAAACTGAACGTTTGTGATGACTGTGGTAAGTATTTGACATGATGTATATGAACTGAATGCACTTAATTATTTTCAGAAGTTAATGCACGCGATATAAAGATTAGAAGAAAATCACGGGTCGTACTGTAATTGTTTCACCAGCCAAATTATACCTGTTGCAAATCTTCTTCACTAGGAAAACGCATAATATTCGATGTATTGCAGTTTGCGGAGTTGCGAGACATTCGCGAATTGTTGGCGGTAATGTAACGAGCGTTCACGAGTATCCCTGGCTTGTGAGCATGTACAAGAGAGGCACGTTTTACTGCGCCGGTAGTGTAATAACGCGTAAACACGTCCTCACAGCAGCACATTGCTTGTCAGGGTAATTATCAGGCAATTACTACCGCAATTATAATTATATTCTAACATATTGATACTATCATAATTCATTCTCCTTCTTTTACGTAATTTTATTGAGAATTATTTTATTAATTACAAGCAATTTTTTCAGATTTGATATTAAAAGCATCACGCTTGTCTTAGTGGATGCGGACCATCCTAAGATAGGCAAGAGCGCTATAGTTCGAGGAATTCACTCAGTGACAATTCACGAAAACTACCAGGCTTATTCTTACGATAATGACATCGCGATCATACAGATGGATCAACCTGTGATCATAGGCGATGCTATACGAACGGCGTGTCTGCCCGAAGACAGTAAGCTAATTTGTATATGAGAGTCAGATATACAAGATTGAAAAGAATCGATGAAAAATCAAGTTATGTTGCAACTGAAATATGTTTAATTTTAAAAGAGAATCTTATCTCCTATATATTAGCGCATAGATTTGAATTTTAAAAACATTTTTTTCTCTACTTGTAGAAACAAGACCGCAAGTTCAACTTTCATAAAATATCTATTGCGAGACAACCGAAAAAAAAAGAACTGTTGATGTTAAAAGAAGACTTGAAATTACAGAAAACATCGATTACACGGGGGCAAACGCAACCATCGTTGGTTGGGGTCGTACTGGAGAGCACAAACCTTTGAGTGACGAGTTGCGTAGAGTCAACGTGCCGATTTTGTCAATGGAGGAATGCGCTCTAGCGGGATATGCGAAAGATCGCATTACCGAAAACATGTTCTGCTCTGGCTTTCTTCAAGGGGAATTCGATGCTTGTTTCGTAAGTTGAACGAACTGATCCCTAAAAGGGACATACTAATTCTTGATGAGTAATAACACATTTATTTTAAAAATATTCTGATATTATATTCTTGTAATTTTCATATATAATATATGCAATATATATTTTTATTTGTATTTTTATTTCAAGGGTGACAGCGGCGGCCCGCTTTTAGTTAAAGGTGTACATGGACAACTCGACGTAATAGGTACGCGATTGTTTCGATTGCGTTTATCAGACCTGAGACTTGTTAAAAAATTTTGCTTTAACTAATAATGTACGTAATGTATAATTTTAGGTCTGGTCTCTTTCGGTCGTGGCTGCGCTCGTCCATCATTCCCGGGAATATACACAAAATTGACTAATTATATTGACTGGTTCAAGGATCACCTGCACGGCGAGTGCGTCTGTCATCGGCCGCATCAGCGAGTGAATTAAAGACACGTTGTAAATTAAATTTTGTAAATAGATTAAACGCGCGCGCGAGCGCGCGCACTCCGTACTACTTACAGACGAAATAGCAAATGATTAGATTAGCGTTGCAATATTTATTATTTTGTTTCATCGCTAAGCTGACAAAAAAATTATTTATGAAATTCTTCTGTTTCGGATTCTATTTAAGTAGCTGTTACATGACTATGTCACACGCACGCACATGCAAGCGTGCGTGTGCGTTTGCAAAATTCAGAAAAAATTGTTATCAACTATTTTCTGTAATTATGCATATGTATTATTTCGCGCAATAAGTATTGCGATAAAAGGCGCAATCACGTTACGGTCGGAGAAATGTTACTTGCTTTTTTGAGTGTACTCTTACTTGATACTGTGCAACATTGGGAAAGTCCCATGCTCTTAATATCACATAAACCAGTCCCATCAATCACGTGACTTTTGAACAAGGTTGCAAGTAGTCCGTTATATATCAATTGAACTTAAACTGAGTGACGTTGAGAGCCACAAAGTTGCGTCACGACATTCAAACTATTGAATACGTGTCTAGTCCAGTGTATCGTAAGGAATATATTAAAATATTTATAATGTTATATAATTGTACTATATAATCGTATAAACATCTCTTGTTCAATAAGAATTGAATAAAATAAACTATTGTTTTATAGTAAAGAAAAAGACACAGCCACATGTTTAATTTGTAAAAACACACACAAACTAATTTATAAAATCATTCATATAATAAACTCTCTTATTTATTTAGTATATTTCAGACCTATGTATTATTTAATAGTTAGTAAATGTTGCTTAAGCAATTATGAAGTTAATTTATGTATTAAAAATAAAGTCACCGCTGTTTCTTTTCTAATACAAATAAAGTTTTCGTTTTACCAAGACAATGTTAAAGAATACATAATATAATAAATAAATATGCAAAAATATTTTATTTTGACATAAACAGCATAATAAACTCAAATAATTTTTGACTTTTATAATTAATTTTGGTCAAACTACACAGAAAAAAAAAGATTTGTTAGAAGCAAGAAATTAGTTATTATATGGAAAAAAACAAAAACAGTTATTTATAAGTAATTTTTTATATATATTCAAACTAAATATATTATTTATTTATACGTCATTCTTTACATATGTTTAAACTAAAGTTTTATCTTGATTTGAGAGTAATTTTTGAGTAGAAAGTTCTTGTTGATATCAATTGAGTCTTTACTTCGAATTGTTTACAATGTTGCGTGTCTCTCAATAATGTTATTTGCTGTCTCTTCAATTTGATATTCTCTCGCAGAGATTAATATGTTCCTGGAAGATGTTACGCGTTTATTAAATACACGCAATGTATTTCCTCTCTGAACCGGTTTTATTGTTATCTACCCTCGCTTGTGGCAAAGAATTTACAAATAGCATTACAGACAGAGGCGTACGATTAATGCCTTTTTCACATAAAGTTGTAATTTTCATTGTTGAACTATTGGTGGGGTATGTTAATGATGCAACTTCATGCGTAAAAGCATAAATATTTTTACTTGCGCAGAGATGTCAGTAATCGCTTCTTCGAAAAAGGACGGAGCTTCCTATCATCAGCGGTTTCTTCCGTCTCGTGAAGGAAAGGTTTTAAATGCTTGTTTGTTACTCTGAATGTCGCTGCATGATTCACATCCGAAATGCCATTTGCGTCATAAGGGAGCTATATACATTCTGCTCTTCTTTACATATATAAACCGGTGCGGTGATATCCTAACGCATTATCGTAGTTGCTCTTCGCTGTGATACGAAAAAATCTCTTACAGAAGTTACTTATCATGGTGAATCCAAAACTGTACGCTTCATCCGACAATTTGCAAACACATAACGTGGAATCGGTCATAGAAGAATTCGCTGACGATCTCATGAAAATGTCAGGAAAATGTATGGACATTGGTTGTGGTCCGGGAAACTCGACAAAGGATTTACTCTTACCGGCTCTTCATTCGAATGCAACGGTGATCGGTAAGCACTGAATATAAAAATACAACAACCCCCATAAACCCCGATAAACATTTTTTATTAATTGTGATCGTTGATCATACACTGTACAGGTACTGATATTTCTGAGTCCATGATCAAGTATGCCAACAGAAATTATAGTGATAGAAGAAGACTTAAATTTGAAGTATTGGACATACAAACCAAATATTTACCTAAAAAATATGTTTCCGAATTTCATCACATTTTTTCATTTCACGCTTTGCACTGGTGCACCGACATTGAGTAAGTAAATATACGATAATTGTAGATAAGAGTAAACATTCATAAACCTTAGTAGTATTTCAAATTATCAATATTTTTCTTTATGTTATATTTAAAAAATATTAACTCTATCTTAACAGACAAGCGTTCAAAAATATTTATCGTATGCTCCGACCTGGGGGAAGTATGCTTACACTTATAATAGCGTCTCATGACGTAGCTGATACTTTTCAAACATTGGCTGAAGATATTCGTTTTGCACCATATTTGAAGGTAAACATTAAGTTGATTAAATATATATATATATATATATATATATATATATATATATATATATATATATATATATATATATATATAATATGTTACTTTTAATAATATGTTACTTTCCCTTTCTCTTTTTTTTTTTAAATTATAACTTTGCAAATATTATAACTTCTATTCTCTTCCACAGAATTTGAAACATACATATCCATTTAATAATGTACCTCATTCTCAGAAAAGAGTAAAGACTTTATTAAAAAATATCGGATTCGAGATTTGCCATTGCAGTCTCCGGGAGGGATCTTCCATAAATCACGACAAATTTATAAGTAAGTGTTGCAAAATATAAAAAACTTGAATTGAATTCCTCACTCATTGCGAGAGATGAATTACAATTTCTTATATAAATCGCCTTAGAGAGTGTTTATCTTTTTTTCTTTCAAATTATTTTATTTGTAAATTTGATTTTCATTATAATTGATTTTTCTGTAACAGAGTCGATGATATCCATGTGCTCATCAATAGATAAAATGACAGCGGATCAAAAAGAACAATTTAAAAGTAGTTTTGAACGCGAATATATAAGTAGAAAAATTATTTATACATTGAGAAATAATGATAAAGAACAAACATATATATTAGATATATACAGTATGCTAATAATTTATGCAGTAAAAGGCAGAAAAAACATGATAACTAACTAAACAAATAGATAAAATTTAGAGTAAAGTATTGCGTGACTAAAATGCGGGAGATATGTGCGTATTTTCTTACTAATCGACTTACTTATCAATTCACTAATTTTGTATTTACCGCCTTGAATATCATCACAATTATGGAAGTTGATAGTTTATGGAACCCATCTTTGTATATATATATTAGAAGTACAAGTGTACAGCACTTTATAACAAACTCAACAATGTGATGCAAAATTACAATACGCATTTTCCAAAACTCAATTTCTCATGACATCTATATATAAAGGAGAGCGAAGTTAGTAGACTCATTATTTAATTTTAAATTTTTATAGATAAATAAAAGACACGCTTATTAAAAAAATAAATCCTATACTAGTATAAGATATACTTATTATATACATACATATATAAAACTAATTCGTTTACTATAAATATGATAACTAAATATAAATAATTATATTAATGATAATAATTAATATTAAAATAATTTTTTACTTCGTGTCAAGTGTGTCAAATTGTCCCAGGATAGGATATACAAATAATATAATGCAAGTAGACTACATGTATTAAGAATAATATATTTAAAGATATTTTGTAATATATTTGTATGTGCGTTTTTACAAAACTAGAAATATTGAAGATAAATCTTTCATGTTTGGATATAAAAACAAAATTTTAATAAAAAAACAAAAATAACTTGTTAAGTAAATAAAAACTTAGTTTTATAAAGTAATAAGATAAGAGAGATAGATTAGATAAGATAAGAGAGATATAATGTTATACATAGGTATATTTTGATATCAATACTATAGAATAACAATATTCTGTTATAAGTACTCAAATATTCTTTATGTCATTTGTTTTTAATGTTCTTCAGTATATTATTATTTTATATTCTAT